CATTATCTCTCATTGGCTGCCGCTGCAGCTACAATCAAATGGTGCCTCGTCCTGAACTTTCCGCTTAAGTACATTATCAGTTTGGTGTTTTTTAAATACTGATTTTGGTTGTGTCATGAGCAGGATAGAGGCGGAAAAGGGTGTGATAGTCACCAACCACTCACTAACTGTATGCGTTTGGTTTTGTACAATAATCAGTTACCTGATAAAAATTTCTTATTGATTGTGCTCCCTATGTCTAGGTAACTTTTAATGGATCGTTTGATCACATGAATATCGATGCAACTAGGTACGGTTATCTTTATACTATTTCATGTTCCTAGTCTATTACATTACAGAGAACTTTAGCATCAAAACTATATAATCTGTATGTTTCATTTTTTCCTTGATTTGATGGTAGTGTTGAGAATCTGGAAATCATTGATCCATTCCATAATGCTCTTTTGGGCACTAGCAATAAGAAGAGGAGTCTATTCCAGATGTTCAAGACAACCAAAACAGTTGGCGGGTATCTGGAAACACTTTTCTTTAAGAGTTGAAATTACTGATAGAGACCTCTTTGTCCTTTGTGTATATGAGTTTGGCATTTCAGCATTCTAATTTTAATCTTCATAGTAATGTTCTTCAATCATTATTCCTTTAACTCACTGGTCATTTTATTATATGCTGGTCAGGACTAGGCTTCTTCGTGCCAATTTGTTGCAGCCTCTGAAAGATATTGAAACTATTAACACCCGCCTGGACTGCCTGGTTAGTATAGCTATTTTTGGGTGTCACATTTTTTAAGGAACTTCTTAGGACATTATTTAATTTCCGTTATATATGTTGATTTACAGAGCTTGATCATTTTACAGCTATCGGAAACTTTCCATTGTATGATGATGCATTAATCATAAAGCAATAGTCCTCTTCTTGTAATTGCAGGATGAGTTGATGAGCAATGAACAACTATTCTTTGGGCTTTCACAGGTTTTACGTAAATTTCCGAAAGAGACTGGTAAGTAATAAAGCGAAGAGGACTTTTATCGTTGCGTCCAAAATATTGAGCTCGGTTCTTTTGTTAATCACATCACTTCAAGAGATTTCTGACCATCATCCACATCTTACAGATCGAGTGCTTTGTCATTTCTGCTTCAAACCAAAGAAAGTCACAGAAGCGGTCCTAGGTTTCGATAATACCAGAAGGAGCCAAAACATGATTTCAAGCATTATCTTACTGAAGACTGCACTGGATGCTTTGCCTCTACTTGCTAAGGTGTTTTTTTCTTCTCATTTTGTTATCAGTTTTTTCCTTGATTTGGCAACTATGTCTATGGTCTACCTCTAATTTTAGTTGCGCCATGTCCCATGTAAAAATGCAGGTTTTAAAGGACGCAAAGTGTTTTCTCCTTGCCAATGTTTACACGTCTGTGTGTGATAATGAGAAATATGCTTGCATCAGAAAAAGGTAAGGCATTAGTGGGTCTGGCTAGTAGATATTAACTATGATCTTCGTTTCTAGAAGTCTTTTTCATATCCTTCTTAAAGGTTTCTAAAAATAACTAGAGTCTGTATCCTCTTTTTGTTTCAGAATCGGGGAAGTTATTGATGATGATGTTCTCCATGCACGGGTTCCTTTCGTTGCCCGCACACAGCAGTGTTTTGCTTTAAAAGCTGGTATTGATGGATTTTTGGATATTGCAAGGAGAACTTTCTGTGACACTAGTGAAGGTGAACCAACAGTATGCTTCATTTTGTATTATTACCGATTTTCCCATTTACAAATCTGTTCAGCTAATCTAAAATCCTATAAACACTGACAGCAATACATAATCTGGCCAGTAAGTATCGTGAGGAATTCAACTTGCCAAATCTTAAACTCCCTTTCAACAACAGGCAGGGATTCTTTTTCAGAATTCCGCAGAAGGAAGTGCAGGGAAAACTTCCAAGCAAATTTACTCAGGTCAAAAACCCACTTCCATCAGAAACTTAAATGTTCTATCTATATATGGTTTTCCTGAATTTGTTTGTTCTTGTACGTGGTTTGTAATCCAGGTAGTAAAACATGGGAAAAACATACATTGTTCGAGTCTGGAACTGGCTTCTGTAAGTTGAATCATCACAATTTCAAATACCTTGTTTCCTAGTGGGATTCTCTTGGTGCTTAATTAGTGTTTAGCAGTTGCGGAAGTGATATAGTTCAGGAGGTTTTAATCAAGCGAAGACTTAGAAACACCATGGATCTTTTTGATATAAGAAGAATCCCTCAAATCTAGAAGTGGGAACTATGTTCAACGATTCGGGAACCTAGACACAATGTTTCATTAATATCAACCATACATTGATCTATTGTGCAGTTGAATGTCAGGAATAAGTCTGCGGCTGGAGAGTGTTACATTCGAACAGAAACATGCCTGGAAGGTTGATTATTGCACATTGTTCGCAAAGATATGTAGTAACACGATCAATTATAGTCCAATGAGGCTTGGCTTGTTGATGGCTATTACATGAAACGTTTCTATATGTATGCAGCACTAATGGATGCTATAAGGGAAGATGTATCTGCCCTCACACTCCTAGCAGAAGTCTTATGTCTCCTAGATATGATTGTTAATTCATTTGCTCATACAATATCCACAAAGCCAGTTGATCGATACACGAGACCTGAACTAACAGGTAGCTGACCCTCTGATTATCATTCCTCAAACACCTACCATTGTATCCTCAAGTATCTAAATATCTCTTGAACAATTAGACTGAAGCATATCATAAAAAAAAAAAAAGAGTGCACAGTATGTTTTACACTGCACCTTAAGTGAAATGATTGATCAACGTTCTATGTGGAATTTACTTGCCTATATATTTTTTGGCAGATAGTGGCCCATTGGCAATTGATGCTGGAAGGCATCCCATCCTAGAAAGTATACACAATGACTTCGTTGTAAGTTGTTTGGTGCTATTTCTCATGGTACTATCATCCCTCAATTTTATTCTGAGAGAACATCTTGGTGACAAACCTTGAAGAAATGTATCTGATATTCCTTTACTCACTAACATTATCATCCAAGAAATCTGGGAATTACAGATTTATGTGTTCTGCCCTTTGCGCTCTTGTCAACCACTTTATTCTATCCTTTGGGCCCTGTGCACACTTGCTTAACTCACTAATTTTCTCTTTTTGCAGCCAAATAGTATCTTCATGTCAGAAGCAACCAACATGTTGGTAGTTATGGGTCCAAACATGTACGGGAACTCCTGCTTTACTTCCTCGATTGCTGATCAATTGTCCAAAAAATCCTCATCGACTCGTGTTTTCATTTGCATTCCATATCTCAAGGAGCGGAAAGAGCACATATCTCCAACAGGTGTGTCTAGTGGTCATTCTTGCTCAGATTGGCTGTTATGTCCCAGCTCGCTTTGCAACTATAAGGGTGGTTGACCGCATATTCACAAGAATGGGGACAATGGATAACCTTGAGTCAAATTCAAGCACGGTAATCCTTTAACCTCTCGCTCAGACATTATTTCATACTGGTAGATGATCGTTATCAATATGGTAATTTCCATGGATTTGGCATGTTGATTAATACCAACAATTTACTTTACATGCGGAGAAGTGATATCATGATTCTCATTCCTTGCTTTTCAATGTCACAGTTTATGACAGAGATGAGAGAGACCGCTTTCATAATGCAGAATGTCTCCAACAGGTAGTCTTTTTGAAATCATTGATACAAGGGGAACCTCCCACTCCGTTTCATATCTTGTTAAACAGCCTCATAATGTAGGAGTTTGATAGTCATGGATGAACTCGGGAGGGCGACTTCTTCCTCAGACGGGTTAGCAATGGCTTGGAGTTGCTGCGAGCATCTTTTATCACTCAAAGCGTAAGCATTTAACTGAGTTATTGTCACCGCCATAAAAGGTACTTGATAAACAAATGCAAATGGACTTTCTGTGGATATTATTAACTTTCAGGTACACAGTATTTGCAACCCATATGGATAGTCTCGCAGAGTTAGCAACCATCTATCCAAATGTCAAGGTTCTTCACTTTTATGTAGACATCAGAGATAACCGCTTAGACTTCAAGGTTCTTCCTGCGTTTTCCTGTATTGGTTCGAGGTTTTAGCTTACCTACTGCTGCTAAACGTTAGATTTTCTGATCAGTTTCAACTGCGAGATGGAACCTTACATGTTCCTCACTACGGCCTTCTGTTAGCCGAAGTAGCTGGCCTGCCTAATACAGTGATTGAAACAGCTAGGACCATAACCTCAAGGATCACAGCCAACGTATTACTCCATAACTTACCAAATTGAGACGCTATATCTCATCCATACCCTTGCATAAATACAGAGTTCTGAGTTTGACTTTAATGAATGTTGGGCAGGAAATGAAAAGAATAGAGCTAAACTGTGGGAAGCACCATGAAATGCATAGGCTCTACCGAGTCGCTCAAAAGTTGATATGCTTGAAATACTCCAGACAGACGGAAGACTCAATACGCCAAGCTCTACAAAATCTCAAGGACAGCTTCACAGAAGGAAGGCTCTAAACATAAACTTATCTTTTCGCTTTCCTACTCATAATTAGGATTTTTTAGATCACCCTATTTTACAAGTATCAAAACATCCAAGTTTAGAAGTCTATCTTCTTAGTCAAAACATCAAAGTTTAGAAGAATTCAGAAATTTTAAAGTACGAACAAATCTCATCAACGAGTGTAAATTTTTTTATCATTTAAGAGTTGATATTGTTTTAGTGTATCTCTGAGATAAACCAGTCCAGGTAAATATGTTATCTTGCTTACATGGTGGACATCACAACACTCCAATCTCTCCAAATGCATTGTATCTATAAGAACATGGGGATTATGGTTTTTTTCACTTATTAGATTATTTCTGTTTCTTTCGGATAACAAAAGAAATCAAGAGCAAAAAGAGAAGAAAACTTGCTTATTATTATTATTTTGCAACTGAGTAAGTAACAAAGAAGAAGAACTTAAATGTGCTAAAACATGCAGAAGCCGAGTTTCTTTAGTAGAAGAAAGATAAATATAGACAATAAAGGACTAGCAATCGACAGAATAAGCGGTGACTAAGCAGCATCTCTTTCTTGAAGGTTTCTTGATTTGCACCAAGAATCTTGGAAGATAAGAAGATTCCATCAGTTAGGTGACCTTTTCCTACTCTCCGATGAACAAGCTACCAGCGTAGTACAACTCTCTCTTTCCTTTCTTCTTTCTTTCCTTTTGCTTTAAGGAGATTTCTTGATTTGCGAATCGAAGTAAGCATCTCCGAGCCTCACAGATTTGAAGTAGCCAATAGTGAAGGCTGTTGGCTGACAGCCACTACCATCACCAATAGCACCATACACGATACAATTGGGCACAAGTCTCTTACGAGACCACGCCTCACACGAACACGGTAGACAACAAACCCCTGACGAAAAGAAACCAAAAGAGTTCAGCACAACACAGAGAAACCTAAAGTGAATGAAAAAGTTAAACAAAAATGTACAATTTTGATCCATTGCTTAGACAAAAAATGTATCAATCTTAGACAAGAGCAGATTCCACAGTAGATAAAGAGCTGCTCAGTCAGAAGATTGAATCGATGTAGCTGGTTTCAGGAAGTATTCCATCATGTTAACGCACACATCTCCTCTTAATTAGTAAAAAAAAAAGGAGAATGCGTACGTGTCAAGACACCGCTTGACCAGCAAATTTATCATTTTAAGGGCTTGATTCGAGACTAGATGAAACTAAACTACATTCAATTTATAAATTGATACACAAAAAGGTTAGAGAAGAAGAAGACCTGCTTGGCCTTGTAGCCGAGACGACGGGCTTATTCCTCCATAGCTCCGACACGTATTTTTACGCACCTAATCGTAAAAAAATCACATTTTTCATTAATTCACAAATTTGTATACAACCAAAATTAAATGAACATAACAGAAGCACAACAGAGAGAGAGAGATAGGAGAGTAGTGAGAGACATACCCATTGCGATTTCCGGCGTCGCAGTCACTTGTTTTTTCAAACTAGGTTTCTTCGTTTTAATAGATGATCCCATGGGGAGCTAGGGTTTCCCTCACATTGAGTGTGGCCCATTAGCTTTATTTATTGGGCCTTCGACACAACCATTGTTTCGTAGGGGCTCACTACTGATGAAAGATTAACAGAAAACCGTGTTTGGCAAAGGGCGTTATTACCTCTAATGAGTTTCTTATGAATATTTAATGAATTGATTTGTATCAAGAAACTATTAAAAGAAACCATGTTTTTTTAATGGTCCATTGGTAGAAACTTACATAAGTTTTTTGTAAGAAAAAAAAAATTATATTTTTTTTAATGGAAATAAAGACAATTAATTAAATTATTACATTATGAAATTAAAAAAAAAACAGAAACAACACAAACATACAATTGAAATGTAAACTTAAATTTTGTAATACAAACTTAATTGTTGGCTTCAGTACGTCCCAAATTTTTGCCAGACATGCTCCAACAAATCAGCCGATCATGCCGTGGTTTATTCCGAATATCATTTCGAATACCCATCATATTAGCAATGTTTGAGGGCATATACGTTAAATATGAGAGATCCACAGTTGAACTTCCGCTTCCTTCTCCATGTTCAAAATCTGAAAGATCAAAATGTCTGTATCTATCTCGTTCGTCTTCTACTATCATATTATGGAGTATGATACAAGCTCTCATAATCTTCCCTATTTTTGCTTTATCCCAAAAAAGAGCGGGATTTTTAACAACGGCGAAGCGAGCCTGTAAGACTCCAAAAGCACGTTCGACATCTTTTCGGTAGCCTTCTTGACGTTCAGCAAATAAGCATGACTTTGAATCTTGTGGAGCTGGTATAGATTGCACAAAAGTGGCCCATTTTGGATAGATACCATCTGTGAGATAGTATGCTAACTTATACTCCCGTCCGTTGACATAAAAATATACTCGCGGAGCTTTACCTTGTATTATATCATCAAAAACGGGAGATCGATCAAGAACGTTTAAATCATTTAATGTACCTGGAGGTCCAAAAAAGGCATGCCATATCCACAGATCATATGAAGCAACTGCCTCTAGAACGATAGTGGGTTTTCCTGAACCACGTGTATACTGGCTTTTCCAAGCCGTTGGACAATTCTTCCACTCCCAATGCATACAGTCGATGCTTCCTATCATTCCGGGAAATCCTCGTTGCTCTCCGAAATGAAGTAACCGTTGAAGATCCTCTGGGGTGGGTCTTCTTAAGTACTCATCACCGAACAAAATTTGCAGACTTGATCATTTATTTTCTGCCATCTTTGCTTGCATTGGATCGCCTCTATATTCTCACCAACACACTTTGAAGATGCTGAAAAATAAATGGCTATGCGCTTCCAAAAGGCAGTTGACTTCTGTTCATTTCCCACCACAGCATCCTTACTAGTGTTTAACCACGAGCTAATGAGAATAATATCATCACTCGGGCTCCACTGTCTTCTTTCCTTCTTTTCCACAACAGGTCATGCTTCACCGATGGATGCAGCACACAGAGGGGTTTCTTCAACAAAGCTTGATGGATATCCGCAAAAAACAGAATCTTGTTGACTGTTCAACAGTTCAACAAAGTTTGGGGTAGAAGAGAATGCCATTTGGTACAAGGAAAGATGAGAAGAAAAGACCAGAAGAAAAGATAAAAAGTTAAGAAGAAAAGATGAGAAGAAAATGATTAAAAGAAAAGATGAGAAGAAAAGAAGAGAAGTTTGAGGCAACTCGCTTTTGGGAATTGGTTGTGGAAATGGGTTAAGGGATTACAAGAAAAGATGAGAAGAAAGAGATGAAGCAAGACTCTTTTACGGAAAGAGGAAGAAGGAGAATCAAAAACAGAACAAAAAACAAGCACAAACTGAGAAGAAGAAGGAAAGAAAATATGATTATAAATAGAGGAAGCACTAGCTATGAAATAAACCAACGATGCAACATTAATGAAGGTAATGAAAAGGAACATTGAAAGAAGAAAACCATAAACGTTTTCCAGGGTTCATACCCCATTTAATATCATAAACCAACCTAATCTCAGCCATTACTCTACACTAAAGCAAAAAGAGGTATATTGAGTTGACATTTATCTAACACAGAATCAGCTTTCATTAACCACTTCCCTAAATCATTAAACCCTTTAAAACTATGAAAACTGAAGCAGCATTGATCAAGCCTCAACCACTCCATATCTAACTAGGCATTAATTGTCATCAACGAAACTAGAAGACTAACCTTAACCTTTGTAACGAGCAAAGAGAAGAGGAACCTTGGTTACGAGCATAGAGAAGAAGAACAGCAGGAGATAAACCTTTGGAGTAAGCAAAATCTGCAAAAACCATTAACCATATTATGAACCATCACCGAGCATGAACAATTTCAATCATGAACCATTTAGATCATGAACCATTAACTTAAGCTAAAAGAGATAGAAATAGATAGAGCATATGATCAAAAACGATTTACATATGATGAACCACATACCATTTACAGATCAACAACCATTTGCAGATCATGAACCGTTTACAATTTACAGATCAGAAAACCATTTAGAATGCATCGATTTAGAGACTAATTCAGAAAATAGATAGAAACGACATGCAAAACAGAGAGATCATTTAACTATTTCTAAGATTTACAAACGAAATCCTCGATGAAGAATACGAGGAAGAAGATGAAGAATCATAAACGAACAAAGAGGATGAAGAGGATGAAGAATCACTTATCTGTTAAATCGATGGAAAACAGATACAAGCCTCTGCATATCGGCGCCGGAGAAGAAGAGCATCGCCGGAGAAGAAATACATCTGTTTCGATAAAATAAGAAATTGTCGTGTTTTTTTGACCGACAAAATGAAAAATGGCCGTGTTTTTTTGACCGAAGAAAATGAAATTTAGCCGTGTTTTTTTTTAGCCACTCAGAAACTGCCACATACACAAGACGGATCGTTTCTACTAAACCCATAATTAAGATCGATCCCACTTATATTGGGTTTTTTTAATTAAATTTTATTTTTAAAAGGTCTCAAGAAACCAACAGGAAACCTGCAATAAAATGGTCTTACGGTTTCCCACTCTTTTTGTCACTAATTAACTCTTAAACCGACTTAGGTGATCTTCTAATAGAAGATAAATCATCATAAACCGTTACGGTTTCCGATTATAAACAGCAAAAATACGATAAGATAATTTAGGGAGAGTATCTCTTGGATACAAACAATACGACTGTTCTCTTCACAAACCCTAGATTTCGTGCGGTATCCATCGCTATTCTCCTCGATACATCAATTCTGTTGGTCGAGATCGTCTTCTCCATAAAAGTCTCACCGATTCTCAATTGATTGTATCCAGTGGTTTCGGTTTGGGTGCTTGGAGGATCTTCTGGATTGAAGCCAGGCGTTAAATTGGTTATCTTTTTGCGTGAAGATTCGGAGAAATCTATAGAGTAGCTGAGCTTTGTCCCTGCCAATTACTCGATTCGATTCAACAAGGGCGTTCTCGTTCCTGAGCTTGTGGGAAATTCTCCTTTGATCTGTAGATTCGGTGCTCGCGTCGTGAGAGGTTTCGTCTGTGGAATTTCGTGAAGCCAATTCAGAGAAGTACAGAAACCATATGAGTTTTCTCCTGTAGTTACTTTTTTTTTTTCTTCTTGGAAATCAATTTCTGGCCTTTTTTTAAATTTAAGGGAAGGCTGGATTTTGGGTTTTCAAAAACAGTAGATTCTTGTGTGTGTTTTGTTTCATTACATCATATCTAGTAATACATATATGTATATTTATTCATTATCAGATAAATCCAATGGCAATTTATTACAAGTTTAAGAGTGCGAGGGATTATGATACCATCTCCATGGATGGCCCTTTTATATCAGTTGGTTTACTCAAAGAAAGAATTTACGAAACAAAGCATTTAGGAAGTGGTAAAGACCTTGACATTGTCATCTCTAATGCCCAAACCAACGAAGGTTTGTCTTCCTCCTCCTTACGCCGCTATAGATATATAGAATTGAGTCGGGTGTTTTCTAGTTTCTCAAAGTATATGTAGATTTAAAGCATCTGCTATATATTTGGTTTTTCATCCCTGCATTGGTGTTGTTTAGTATCTAGCTGAAGTAAAACAAAAAAAAGGTGGCTGTGATGTGCCTGGTACTAAATTAATTTTGAATTGCTTGAAATGATGATGATGTGATGAAAGCATCAATCAAGTTTTGGATACTGTATTTTCTTTGAGTCAAATATGATTTTTGCTGAGGTTAAACTGTTCTTGATTGTGGTTGTGGTTGTGAATCATTAGAACGAGTTCTGCAGAATTTGATGCTTGATATTTTGCCTTTTAACTAGGACTTGTTTTTTCCCGCCATTATAAATGCAGCTTGTTGTCTTAATATATATTTTTCTTTCTGCAATTTCAGAATATCTGGATGAAGCAATGTTAATTCCAAAGAATACTTCTGTCCTAATTCGCCGGGTCCCTCGACCACCTCGCATCAGAATTATTACCCCACAAGAGTATTTTTTTTTTCCAATATCTATTATTCTATTCTTTAAGTACTCAGTTGCTTGGTTCAATCTTTTTGGCTCTATTTCCTTGGACATTATGAAGGGATTGAAAAACAAAATAAGCTGGGATTGCGTTATTAATATTGCACAGTTAAACCGGACCCTCGTGTGTAAATGATGTGAATATCTACGTTTTGCAGGCCGAGAGTCGAGGAGGAAGTGGAAAATGTTCAGACTGATATGAACAGTCTCATTGCTGTTGATGCATCTGCAGTGAGTTGTTTACGGCAATTCTTTCTTGGTTTTTGTTGGCATTGAGTTCGACTATCAAAGTATTAACTCACACCTTAACCGACGTTTAGGCTGAAGATGAGTTTGGAGAAGATTTTTATTCAATTCCTGCTCCCCCAGCTGTTCACTATAGTAACCCATGTCCTGATCCTGCACCAGCAGATGAGAAAGTAGATGAAGAAACCAAACTTAAGGCGTTAATTGACACTCCAGCATTAGACTGGCAGCAGTAAGTAGTCTTCTGAAACTGATTTTGTCATGGGAATTAGATCTTGACGATACATTCTTACTTCTTTTTCCATGTTACAGACAAGGTGCAGATGGTTTTGGCTCGGGCAGAGGTTATGGGAGGGGTAAGGCTGGAAGGATGGGTGGACGCGGTTTTGGTAATGATATTCCATCAATTAGTGTCCAAAAAATCTTTTTAATATTTCAGTAAATGGAAGATAATGAGACCGAGTATTTTTGTGTTGAGCAGGAATGGAAAGCAAAACGCCTCCACCAGGCTATGTTTGCCATCGTTGCGGTGTTGCTGGTATGTCAGATTTTAGGAATATTTTCTTATTTTGTTGATTATGGTTCTTATGCTGTGTCAAGTGTGTCTGGTTATAGCCTTGAAAAAAAACTGTGTTCTAAACATCTGTTTTCTGACTCAGGACATTTTATTCAGCACTGCGACACAAATGGCGATCCTAAATATGATGTTAAGAGAGTTAAGCAACCCACTGGTATCCCCAAGTCAATGCTGATGGCGACCCCAGATGGCTCTTATTCCTTGCCAAGTGGTGCGGTGGCAGTTCTGAAACCAAATGAGTACGTTGTGGCAAAATTAACATGGAGATTTTGTCATATGCTGCTTTTTCATATAAAATCAGTCTGAGTAATTTGTGTCAATTTAACAAATTTTTCAGGGATGCGTTTAAAAAGGAGATGGAGGGACTGCCATCAACAACACGTTCTGTCGGTGAACTTCCTCCTGAACTAAAATGTCCAATATGTAAAGAAGTAATGAGAGATGCTGCCCTGACGAGCAAATGCTGTTTCGAGAGCTTCTGTGACAAGTGTAAGTTCTCTTGTCAAATATGCAAATACATCTGATGCCTTTTATGTTGTGCAAAACTCTCTCTTCTTCAATCATTATCGATTACAAAACCTGGCTTTTTGACTGCAATAATCTACATTTCAGGTATCAGAGATCACATAATTGCAAAGTCGATGTGTGTTTGTGGAAAAAATGTACTAGCTGATGATCTTCTACCAAACAAGACCCTTAGGGATACTATAAACCGTATCTTAGAGTCTGGTAACAGTAGTGCTGAGAACGCTGGCAGTATGTGTCAACTCCAAGGTATTTCATTCTTATATTCTTTGTCTTTTATATTTATTTGTACCGGTCCATCGTTGGTAAACTACTGCAATGCGTAATAAATCTAGATATGGAGTCTGCACGTTGTCCACCTCCAAAGGCTCTGTCTCCTACTACATCTGCTACATCTAGAGGCGAAAGGAAACCAGCTCCCAGTAACAACAATGAGACTTCAACTCTAAAGCCGTCAATAGAAATAGCTGAGACCACAAGTGCCCCTAGGGCGTCTGCAGAAATAGTTACAGTGGAAAAGCCAGTTGATGCATCTGAAAACACTCGAGGATCCCTGAATGGCAACGAAGCAGCAGTTTCACTGGTGAATACGCAGGCCACCAAGGAAGAAATACAACAGCAGGTTGCTTCTGGAGAGCAAGGTAATCACTGGCTATCATTATCCACTTATGATATATAAAGAAGAGAGAATCACTTCTGAATAATAAATTACGTACATTGTTATTTGGCCATTAATAACTTCGGTAAAGTAATGCTTACTTTGATCATCACCAGGAAAAAAGAAGAAAAAGAAACCTCGGATGCCCGGAACTGGTAGCTATTTTTCCTATTTTGCTGAGGGCTACTCATCCTCTTTTTCCCCAGTGTATGTTAACTGTATGGAGATGCTTAACAGATTGTTTGTCTCTGTGATATGTTGCAGAAATGCAATGGAACCCTATGCCAGGTATAGCAGCCCCTGAATATATGATGCCCATGGGTCCAGGTCCCAGTAATCAGTACTTCAATGGTGTGCAACCCGGCTTCAACGGCGTTCAACCTGGGTTCAATGGCTTTCATCATGGTTTCAATGGGTTTACAGGCCCTTATCCTGGGGCAATGCCTCCTTATATAGGCTATGGAGTAAGCCCCATGGACATGTCATTTGGCGGGATGATGCATCCAGACCCTTTTGCTGCACAGGGCTTTGGGTTCCCTAATATACCACCACCTCATAGGTACTCACAAGCGAGACCTGCACTCTCATTATATAAATGGTTTGTAATTTTTTTCTTGTCTTTCCGTATAGCTATTATAATGAGCAGGGGACTTTTTGACTTGAGCAGGGACCTTGCGGAGATGGGGAATCGTATGAATCTCCAGCGTCCTATATTGGGGAGAGAGGAATTTGAAGCTAGGAAAGCTGAGATGAAAAGGAAGCGTGAAAACGAGAGACGGTCAGAAGAAGGGTATGGGCAATGCGCTTTCACTGCTTTTTCAGGCTCATATGTCTGCTGCTGCATCAGAGATTGTTAACTAATTGTTTTTTTCGTTTTTTTTGGTGTGGTACAGAGGGAATGTCTTCAGGGACGGCGAGAGCAGCAGAAACATAAACAACAACTCGGTAGCCTCTTCCTCACCCATGAAGCCAAAATCTGTATGTATCATTTTTGTTGTCTCAGTTCTCTCACTCACTCTTTCTTTATGCCAACTGGTCTGGCTTGCAAGAGACCGTTTTTTCTCAACACTATCATCTTTCTCGCGCTCTGCATTTATCAATATTACGTTAAGGAAAATAGGTTGATTCCACAATTGTTAAATAGGCGTCCGCTTTTTAAGTTATTGAGTTTAGGGGGGTAATAGACATACATTTAATAGACATGCTATAGGATGCATAAAGTGAAATGAAAGTTATTATTCCCCCAGAGTCAGTTTGGTCATAAAGTGAAGGTCGACTATAATCCCATAATATTTTTTTTGCCTATGATAGGTTCATAAGGAAAAATACGGATTTGTAGGTAGACTTTCTAATTTCAGGGATATTATGTGGATTAAATGTTTCATTTTCCACATTGGGACTAATAACATTTATTGTGTGAGTACAGAGTGTACAGACCAATAATATAACATGTTCCCCCGTTGTAGCCGTTAGAGTTCCTATATTATTTAAACAGATTTTAATTTTACAGTATAAATTTTTTTGTTGTATATTAAAATGTGATCTACTTCATTTTTAAAGTGAAAACTCAATGTTTATTACAAAAATCAATAGTAATCACAACAACTATTTTTATACTAAAATTTATATTTGTACATACTTGAGACTGAAATCCTTTGTCACCTTCACGTTTTAGGTTAAACCGAGACCTATAAAAAATAAAAGTTTTAGATTGGCTACAATGTTACGGGAAAAATGGGTTGGGTCTAATATATCTTTTATTGGGCCCAATACTCAAAATTTCGCTGTTCTGTTATATTTTATTAATTAACGAATATAATGGTGCCTTGTTGTTCAATGATCAGAGACAAGGGCCTCCGCCACCGATCCCGGATTCCGACCGTCGCAGGCGATCGGAGAGATTATCACCAGAGCATCAGTCATCGCGGCATAGGGCCAGCTCTCCTCCTCGAGTATCTAGAAGGAAATCTGAGCGTGATCGTCACCACGACCTCGATTCAGAACACGATCGCCATCGCGATTGCCGGGATGATGATCGACGCCACCGAGAGTCAGATAGCAAGCACCGTAAGAGATCCGAGAAGCCATCATCGGAGGCTACGAAATCAGAGATCGATGATGATAAGCACAAGTCCAGCGTATTCGCTCGGATAAGCTTTCGGGAGGAGGAGGAGGAATCTTCTGGCAAACAACGAAAAACGACGAGGTCTTCTCCAGCGCCTGAGACTTCGGTTCGTCGTCATAGTCGGAGGGAAACAGAGTCGGTAGAATACGGTTCCAGTGATGATGAAGACAGACATTTCAAGAGGAAGCCATCAAGGTACGAGCGGTCTCCGTCGGTGGCAGCAGTTTCCGACGTCGGCGATGAGCATTTCCGCCACTCGAAGCGGTCAAAAGGAGAAAGATGGCGGGCTTGATCCTTGTTGCACTTGGAACTTGGAAGAACGATGAGTCAGATTCATACATTGACTGAAACGCCCTTCATCATCTGGATGGAAAGGAAGCCATGGCATGGTGAATGACGAGAATGCCCTCTTACTCTTGAGGTCAAGGATTAATGATCTGGAATTAAAGAAAAAGACATTCTGTATTCGGATGTTTTGTGTAATTAGAAATGGGTTTTCTCACTATTTTCTGCTTTTGTTTAGAACGACTGATGTTGCTCTTGTATGACTTTTAATCTTATCAAATATATTCACTTAAGCATTTTATGATTTATTTAATATCAAACTACAAGTTTTTTATTAGAATAATATACAGTAGTTATTTTTTATTTATATGTATTTTGGCAAGTTTTCTGTTAAACCGTTATCGGAAGTATAACCAGTTGAAGTATTTTCCCCAATCTGATTTTAGATAGCTCAGAGTTTTATCTTAGAAAAAGGACCACGAAAAGTGTAAAACTATGAGTAATGTATAACTGAAAGTCTGAAACCTTCCCCAATACGATTTCACCCGCTATGATATTTTATGTAAATATTTGCTCAAGCCTGAGCAACTATTATTCATTGCTCTCTTTCAGACAGTTTCTGTTTGCCTTAAAACATCCACTACCAAAGCATTTAAAAAATATTTTGTTACACATGACCAATCTACTGCAACAACACTAGTTTCTGCAACCGAACAGAAGAAACCCTCTCTAAGTTTTCACATTTCGGTAAGGATCAAAGAAGATGCAATCACAACGTATGCAAGGAATAAGAATAATCCTATCTGAACCAATAACCTTGGATTTTCTCTCATGTTTGGGGACGTCACCGACCTGTATAAAAGAAAAAGCTTTGTGAGTCCTAATTTCAATATATAGTTCTTCCTTTTACAATAAAAGCAATAGTTATACTCAAGAGGAGAGATTGATTCCTCTAACCTTGCGATTCGCTGGGAGAGCCGATGAAACGGTAGACTTTGGATGAACACAATGCCTGGTCCCGTCAGGGTCGCTGTTACTATGTTATCACCCTTTTTGATCAAATACAGAAGATTGTAGAGACGTAAAATGGATTTAGATCGACAAGTTTAACAAAAGCAAAGATGTAGAAACATTTTGATAGGAATGGAAAAGGGGAAAAATGCAGCGTACCCCAAACACTGCCCGTCTTACAGATGGCGAATGGTATTTGATACGGAAATTGATCGAGGGAGTGAGTGCGGCGATGCAAGAAACGTCAATGGTGAGAACTTCTCCCACCTCCAGGTTTTTCTGTACAGCTTATGAAAGCAAATGGAGTAGGATCAGTTTATTTTTTCAGGTTATAAGGCCTAAACTAAATGAGCATCATGTTGAGATAAACCTTAACTTCATACCAGAGCCACCTGCAATGATAAATGCGAGACCCTGGCCAGATAGCCTTTGTCTCAGAAACCCCTGTAACAACGAATAAGTGATATAACTCTTTTAAGTTTTGAATCAAGTGTGTAAAAGGCCAATGCAATGTCTAGTTTTCCTTACCTCAACGCCAGCCGCAGCAATGTTTCTAGCTCTATGTCTCTGGTAAACAGTGTTTACGACCTTCACATCGTGGACAGAACAGAGAAATGCATCTGGCTACACAACAAGAAGAAAAGGCCACATTGAATGGGGAGGAAAAAGCTGAAAGCTATACACAGACAAAGAAAATATTGATTTCTGGAGAATCTATATATACATAACAAAAAAGTTTGATGGTTTTTTGGTTCATCAGCTCTACCTGGCATAGGATGTCACCACCAAACATTGCCAAATCAACCTTCAAGGAAAGAACCGAAAAACACATAAGAATGAGACCAGAATGTAATATTAAGGATCATACTTGATAATACGGAAGAAAATTATGAAAAGCTAGGATCACACTAACTGGGAGTATCCTTGCCAAAGAAGGTGCAGCGATACCGACAAATCCATCGCTTTGCCCAGTGTTACGAAGAACTACACTGCTAACACTCTTGCCTAAAATCCACTGTACAACTCCAACTTCTTGTTCAGGGGTATAAGTATTCTCCATCTCAATGGAGCCAGACATGTAGCACACTGAACCTACAGCACCATATCTAATCAAGTTTTAACCCAACAGATGTTACAAAAGTTGAAATGGCTAATCACATCAAGGAGAAAAGACAATTCTGGCGAATTTTATAGAGACTGGAAAAATTACCAGGCTTAGCAATGACCTTCTCCTGTGGTTTCAACATTATCTGACACCAAAATACTCAAATGGGTTAGCAAACTTGAGGATATGGCAAATAAACACAAAAATAAGGAGGCTTCAAACCAATGTCGACCTACCTGAACAACCTGTGCTTCACCACCCAGAATCTGGAAAGGTGTAATTGTCTCTTCTTGGCTCTGCATCACATTGACCACTTGTGAGATTATGCACTTACAGACAAAACTGAAGAGTTCAATTAAAAAAACTTGTCGTTATCACAATACGTTATTCATGAAACGAAAACAAAAACCAACACCTAAACATGGAAGGATCCCAAAATTATAACTTTTTTGGCGAAGAAGTATATTTGAACACTAGCCTTTTCGACAGTGCAGACAAATAAATAAAAAGAATCTCAGAGTTAGAAGACAAAAACCTGATAGACATAAGGCTGAAATGGAGTAGAGAAAAACGGAGCAGCCATGGCGGTGGAAACCGCGAAAGATCTTAAACCAAAACCTCCGACTCAGTGATTCCGAATTAATCTGGAAATTCAATAGAATTTTGATACGAAATCGTCCGTGTCGATGCGAAAACGATGAGATTGCAGATCCAAATATCCGATAACACCGTCGTAGCAAACCTCCAGGCCGAAAATGTTCGCGGTGGATGTGACCGACGGTAACTAACCACCGATTAAATTCGCTTAAATCGGCCTTTAGCACTCTGGAGCTACGCGTGGATTCTGCTAACGTGGAAAGATCTCATTGGTCGTAGAGTACCTAGTCGACGCAGATTTTAAATCCGGTTTAATATGATTTAGATTCTTATCAAAAGACAAAACCGGTTGAAAGACATTGGTACAATTTCCATTATAGTCTAAACCGATTTAATTTAAATTAGGAAACCACATTCCTACCGCCATAAAAAAAAAAAGGAAATTCACATTAATGAAACAGTCCCACATCGCTTAGAAACAACGAGGGAGGTCGGCGATATCCCTTATAAATACACGTTTTACAAACCTTGGGAACGATTATGTTTGCGAACGAGATACCAATAACAGACATGACAGGGAAAGGTTCTTTACAAAACTATGACGAAATATTCAGTAGCAATGAGATGATGTGGTTTATTGACGATACCAATGTCTATCGTTTGCAAGTGTCATTCAAAAACCTGACAACAAAGCCAATCAATGGCGCAGTTTTTATCGTCAATCCAAGAACAGGACAGCTGTTCGTGAAGGTTATCCATGCAAGCTTTTGGGCTGGTCACAAGTGTCTTCTTGGTCTGCTAGCTAAATGGATAGCAGCAGAAGAAGTTGCTACACTTGTGCGGTCTCTCCCCTTTGAAGCACAACCAAAACAAGTTATCGTGAACCGTAAAGCAATGTATGATCCCGTTCAGTTACACTTGCTGGATTTCCCTAACATTGTCATCAAGGGAAGCGAGATGCAGCTTCCATTCCAGGCTTGGTTCAAGATTGACAAGTTGCGTGATCTGATTTCGAATGCCACTGAGCCGAGTATGTTCCTCTTCAACATCTATGATGATTGGTTGTCGAGTAATTCTTCTTACACTGCTTTCTCAAGACTCATTCTCATCCTTCGTGCTCTTCATGTCAGCGTTGACAAGGCTAAGTTGTTATTGAAGCCCGACGAGTCTGTTGTCACTCAGACGAATTACATCTGGCCTTCTTTCACTAACGAGCACTGGTTAAAGGGTCGAGGTTGCTCTTAGAGACCTCGTCCTTTCTGACTACGCTAAGAAGAATAGGGTTGACACGTCGGCTCTGACACGGTTTGAGATTAGAGATATTATACTTGGAGCTGAGATTCGTGAGAAACAGGCCAAGCAAGTGAGACAGCTTAGTACAAGAATTGAATATAGCTTGAAACTCGGAGATCCCAAGGACTACTATGACAGTGAGGAGGATGGTGACTTCAGCGAGAGAGATGGTGAGGACACTTTTGCTTGATTTCTAAACTATTTTACTGCTTTTTTTGGTTTTGCTTGATTTTAAACTATTCAACTGCATTTTTGGTTTTGCTTTTACCTTTATTGCACTACAGAGAACTTATAAGAATCATATGTACTAATAATTGAGAATTAAGAACCTGATTTACTGTCCTTTACATTGCTCTGGTATTTGTCTTTTTGTTTCAGCTTAGATATTATCACCTTGTGGGCCTATTTTTTTTCCAAGCAATGGATCTTATATTGGACCTGTGACCTGACGTTTTACTAAGGTCTGATGTATTTATACGATTGAAGTGGTTTGTTAATTCTTAGTCTTTCTCCTCTTTTTTTCCTTGCGTAGATCTTTTTATGCTTGTTTCTGATCTATTGTTATCTCAAGGACCAAGTTGCTTATGGTTTATGATCATAAATACTTGCAGGTGACATTGCCAAAAAGGTTCACTGATGTCCTCTGCTTACCTCTAGGATTTCGATTGAGAACAGGTTTACTTAACATCTCTCTTTTGCAAAGTCCTCTTTTGGCTGGCTGCCTCTTTCTTTCTTTCTATTTTCCTCTTTTTACTACAGAGTCTTGTATTTTGGATATAGGTAAGGGTTTGTATGTTGTGTAGGAATTAGGGAGATTTCAATGTGATTTTAGTGTGTCTGTGTAAATACTGAACCACAGAGCAACTAGTGAGACATGTTGGAGAAAGCAGGACGTGTGAGAGAGATATTGCAGAAAATCAAGTAAGCTGTTGAATTACAAAGCCTATCTGTTATGCATCCAATCCAAGTTTTGAACTTTTGATATTGGGACAATGGTGTTTCACTTTGCAGCAAGTTCCTGAGAACAGACCTAGGTTGCTAACCGAAGTGATCTCGCAGCTAGCATTCGTAATTCGGAGCAAAATTGCGGTTATTGGTGTCTATATTGTTGTTTTCTCATGTGAGTATATGTGCTTTCTTTTTCCCTCTCTATGTTTACCATTTGGTATAGGCTGATAATCTTGATTGTGAGTCTAGCAAGTGTTTTGATATTTCATAAGCCTTTGTCATTGCTTTTCAGTGAATCCAAGTCTATTTAGTCCATTACTCGCAGTTAGATTCTGTGCATAGTATTTTAATGGCGGTAGCAATCTGATTTCACAGGAGACATCTACAAACAAAACTCATAAAAGCCTCAACCTTTACAAAACTCACTAAGCTGCAACACCCAAGTCCCCATCTCACGCAGTCTCAGGCTGGTTTAGCCAGAGCCGTTCGTTGTGTGAATCACCAAAAAGAAACAAGGTGGCTTTATTCTATTACTAGAAAACTACACAGTTTCCCAAAGAACCCAACAACACAAAACGATCCAAAAGCAAAACCCCAAAGCCTATTTTCATAACCACAACCTCTAAGTGAAGACAGCTGACAGATCTATATCTATCCGAATCCCAGCAAAACTTAACCAAATGCTAGCGTCTATTACTCCAGATGAACACTGCAAGCTTTGGGTAATCAAGCAGATGAATCCAAATCGGAAATAGAAAAACCAGTCTGAGTTCAACTACTACAAGCATTGAATTTCCTCATCATCTCTACACTATCAGCTATTGTCGACCCCGCAGTACCAACGAAACCTAGTGACGCACAACTGCAAACAGCTTCCTCTATGTAAAGCTGCACATTGGATACTTCACGAGGAGAACAATGGTTCTGCATCTTTTTGATACTGTCCAGACTCATAGGAATAGACCCAAATTTCTGGCCGTGACCAGCAGATGCAAGCTCCCGTTGTGTTCGCAATACTACTTCATCTTGTTCCCTCAGGAAGTGGAGCTTAAAATTCGTAGAGTTGTTAGACAAATCACCCAAGTAAGTTCCGGTCCAGTTGCTTTCAGGAAGGTCCGTCATTACAAACACATGAACTGGACCTGGATTCTTTATGGTCAAAGATTCCAGCTTCTGGCTTAAACCCATAAACGTGCTCTCCCTGTGGTTCTTGAACTGGCCATCAAGCAGTCTAAGCTGCGCGCAGACAAACGGCGCCTTTATGGTTTCCGAGGCAAATTTCTTGCCCGCACTCATGATCTCTCGAACAAAAGGAAGGAAATCGACCTTCTTAATCAAAGACTTTATCTCTGGAACACTTGAAGATTTGTGGAAATCGATATACAATTCAGAGCCTTTGTATGGAGCCGTGAATAAGCTCCCAAATGCCATAATAGCTACAGACTCAGCTTCTGTACCACCTCCAAGACTCTTATACACATCTCGTCGCCTTCTAACGTAAGATATTTTCTTTTTCTTCTTAAGCTTCTCGTCAGGCTGAAAGGAATCTAATTTTCCATCAGAATCTCCATTTCTATACGTCCAAACAGTGGTTCTGCAATCTTCATCCACGGCATACAAACACTTATCTACATTACCACGAACTCCAGATAACAGATAGCCACACTGTTTCAAAGATTCATAAGCCTGAGACTGTTCAGATAATTCACCAGAGCATAGAGTCTCCAAGTCAACACCACACAGTAGAGATGCAAAGAACCTGAGATCAATGACTCGAACAGCCGAAGAAGATACCAGCGACGAAATGTCTACAATATCAGCTATCGAAACGTACCTGTAAAACACCAAAATTCGTCAGCCAATTAATTCCCAAATCACAAACGAAAACAAGAGACTTTGTACATGAATGAAACTAACAAAAAGGGGACACAAGTAAATGAACGAAATCGCTAAGCTAAGAGCGAGTGCGCTTGACCTGCCAGTTCTAAGAAGCTCAATAGAATGATTCCAAACTGAGACTCGTATCTCGCTCGGGCTCAAAACCCTAAATTTCGGACAGCTACCGAGAGCGACGGCGTGATGATCCAGCACCGGAGGAACAATCAGAGTCCGATTAAGGATTCCCGCCATTAGAACAGCATTCTTGAATTCCGACAGCTGGTTACTGAATCCACTGTGTGGAGCGTACCAGAGAAATCTCTGCCCTAGAAGAGTTCGTGATAGTATCTCGGATCTGCACTGAGGGAATTGGACGGATCCAGAAAAGGCAGAGATCGAGAAGAGTGATTTGGGTATCTCGGAGTAGGTGATGAAGAAGACGAACACGAACAAAACAGCAAGTAGAGAGAAGGAGCAAAGACATATGGCCGATTTGTTGGTTTGCTTCTTCCTGTTCGGCCATGGACGCGGGCTTGGTCTACTGGGATTGAAGAAGCTGTTCATATTTTGCTCTTTAGATTGTTTAGACGCAATCATTTGTGTATTGTTTTGTTCGAGTGTCGACGCTAATAAAACGGTGCGTATTTGGATTTTGGGCCTATCTAACTTTCTATGTTGGGCTTAGCCACATCTAAAGCCCAAAATCCATCACAGAAATAAATAACATGTTAACCAGGTCCTACCTTAGTTATGTACATTTGTGGATTGTGGTTATGAGTAAACTGAAAATAAAAATCAGCAGGATACTGCCATCTTCACTTTCATGAAACTTAATATATAAATTCTAAAAGGCAAAGCAGTTTTACTACACCTTTGAACGAAATTAAGGATGATGCTAAACCAAGTCAAAGGCAAAGGCCAATAAGATTTAACATTAGTTTTAACATTATTTTTCTTCTCCCACCTAATAAACAAAGCTGAACTAAGCAGTTAAAACGAACCTAATAAAACAATCTTATTTTTGAAGTTAAATATAACCAAGAACAAACCCGAGAGCCCAGCCCTGGGTCCTGTCTGCCAATTTGTCATTGTTGATAGAGTCATATGTTAACGACAGCGAGTTCACTTGGCTACGCCTAAACCTGAGAGACCATTGCATCAGCAGATCTTTAAACAGCATGAATCACAGTGTTCATGTCCGAACCACCACTGGCTGGATTTGGATGAAACGCTGATTGCCTCGAAGACGACCCTCCAGCGAGATTCAATGAAACAGACTGTTCTGATACACCGTTTTGGCTCGACTCCCCAAGGCTGAGCTGAGACATACCAAGAAGTTGATCGACGTTAATAGGGGCAGCTTTTGAATGAACAGCTGTTGGCCTGAGGATCTCGTGAGTCTCTTCCTTTGTCGGCTCGGTAACATACGCAGCAGACCATACAGGGAACGGGAATGGGTAGAATGGTGAGAAGTAAGTCGGATACAGTACAGGGAATGAACCAGTTGGTTGTAGCTGCGTTTGGATGGTGTCTTCTGGTCTGAAAGAAGCAGAAACTGTTAAAGTTGGTGGCTCCTCACCACTAGAGTTGGTGGAGTTCATGGATTCACACTCTTCCGTTTCCAGGATCAATGGTGCCGGAACAGACTCAGTGTCCTGCATTTGTGTTTCCACAGGAATATCCTCGGCTCCCAGTTCTTGAGAATCCATGAGAACCTCTGTTACCTGCAAAGAAAATTATCGTATAAGGAGAATAACAATAAAATGAGATAAATCAGAGGAGACTAAACTAACCTCATCAGGAATCATATCAAAGAGACTAGAACGTCTCTTGCGGCGAGACACATTGGATTGTCTGATGAAATACTTCTGAGCGTGACTAGCAACTTGAGTAGGTGTCCTCGTTGTCACATAGTTCCTGGAGATTCCTCGCCAATCGCCTTTTCCCAGCTTCTGTAGACCCAATAAGAACATCCTATGCTCCTCTTCTGTCCACGGATTTCCTAAACGATATTCATTTACAAAACAATCATATCATCAAATCCATAAAAAAGCCAGATAATTTTTAATGTTTCCCACAAAAAAGTAACCTGAAACTCATATGACATAATTGAGATATATCTTTTGTTTATTGCAATCAACAAAGTGACAAGTACACAGTTCCGATTCACCATTGTTCTACTAAACATTAAATTGGCATCAAAGAAGATTATTAACTCGTTAGAACAATATCTCAAAAGGGACAAACTTGATAACGAGACTGACATCATCAATATGTATAACACAAACATCAACGCATAGGGGGAATCAGAAGCTAGATACCTTTCTTTCTCTCGCGGCTAGAAGAAGAGCCGGGAACAAAATCCTCGGAGGCGTAACCGTCGCCGACGCCGTGGTCCGGGCCATCACCGGGAGAATCCGACCCGATTCCGCCAAGCCCACTCAATCCGGATCCAGAGCAGTGGCTGAGATTACCCATACTTGCGCTTTTTCGGATCGAACCCTCTGTGAGCCGAACACCGAAGAGCTTAACCCCACGATTCGGACATGTACGTGAGTTGTGTCCATTTTGATTGCAGTGAGAGCAACGGCGAGTCATATCCGATAAGGATTTCGTTATCCTAATCGGATCTGGTCGTGCTCGATTCGGGTCCTCCGCCGTCGATCGGATCGATGGTAATCTCGGAAGCACAGAATCTGATGAAATGGGAAGAGAGAGAGACAGTTTATAAAGGGGTTTTATCTTGTCGGAATTATTACATAAATTAAAAATAATATCTGACGTGTCGCAGGTAGATTTTTCATTTCCTTATTTCCGCTGACTTCTAGTCAAAGCAATTATCATTTTTTTCTTTAGAAGACCTTTGAATTGAATTAGTATTACTTCTTGTAGACTATTAATTCCTTATTTTTTCTGTACAAATGGTTGCAGTTATTCTCATAAAATATTCGTAAATTTGACTAAAGACAAATGGGTGTAACTTGTGATAGTGTTATCATTGTGACACCATCCATTTGAAATTAAATTACCACAATACATGATTGATTGTTGACACATAAACAAATTATATTGATTTTAATTATTTAATATATTATGTGAAAAGCTGATTTAAAGACTAACAAATCAATACTTTTTATTAATCTTTTTATCAACAACTTGCATTATTCTACTATAATATTTTGTCGTCATTATTCTACTGTACGTAAATTCATGTGAAGGTGGGATTTTTTTTCATGTGAATATGGTTCTCATTTAGAAATACAATATTTCCAGAATTTTTTGTGTTTTTGTTAAAAATATTTCTTGAATTTTACAACGTAATCATCATAAAACTCACATCTATTAACTGTTACAACTTACAAGTAACAACTTGGACGAGTTCACGATATGTTTATTTATATGGTCGAAGCACGGACGTGTCTTATTAGGAGTGAATGGATTTAGATAAGTAGGACCCACTTATCTCGGCCACGTGGTCACAAGTAAAACGACTAATTAGAAAAGCACTAACGTATATGACTTTCGTCGGACCTGATAGGATCCCACGAGAAGTGTCACGTGTCTCCTTCTTACCGTATTCCAAACTCAAAGTCCAATTTTAGGTGTCTCTAAACTTCATTTCATTAAGCCCACCTTCATGTTTAAGATTATTGGGCCTGTGCAGTTCGGCCCTGTGAAAGTTAAGTGTAGTTTAGTTTTGACCACTTGCTTGAGCTACAAGAAACTGATGGATACGCTAATTCTGTGCGTTTAGTAAAAAGAAAGGCTTTCGTATGTGAATAAGAAGCCCATCGAGTTATCGGCCTGGCATAAATTTTCAAAAGTAACAAAAAGCTCATTAATCGGCCTACAAAAACAAGATTGCCCCGAAACTTGTTCAGCCTTAACCATAAAATAATGTAAATCTAATTAAGAATGTTGCCATCTATGACTATATTATGTATCTCAATTTTGACCCAAAGCTTTTTTAAATTTCGTCGTCGGCAACATTAAGAACTACAAAACGTTACGAACACAAAACATCTTATCGATTAGCATTTTAGCACATGATTCAACATTGACACGAAAAAACTCATTATTTTGTTTGGTCGCTACTCCAATGACAAAACAAACATAATTCTATCCATTTAAGTAACGCCATTAAGTTCTTTGGTCAATTTATTAGCCAATTAATTTTTAGGAGATACGTATAACTAAAGTATATGGTGTTTGAAATTCATAGCATGCCAAAGTAATGAAGATTCTTAAAAGCTTCTATAGAAGTATATAGTTAAAATCGTTTAACACAACTTTGTGTTATTTATTAGATCGTTTGACTATAGAAGGGTGAAGTAATAATTAACTCTCTGTTTTTGTAAATTTTCATAAAACCTTACAAATAAAATCCATATTATATTATTAAGTTTAAGTATACAAATCTGCTGTCAAAAACTAAAAATGGTATAAAATTTAACATTTTTCCCAAAAAAAAAAAGTTCAAGGATACTACTTAATAAGGTCTGATAATAATTAGGGTAAGAAAAAAAGACCAGTAACAAAATTAATTTAGAGAAGAAATACTTGAAAGAAAGAGGAAGAAGAATCATACATACAAAACACATAATTGGAAACATACGCATGCACCCGTTTCCGTAATCTCCTTCGTCGTTTTCTAGATCTCTTTGCTTCTCTGCTCTCTTGCTTCTTCTTCTTCTAGGGTTTTTGGTCTCTGTCTCTCTCTCTCTCTATACGCGCAGGTTAAATCATCTCACAAGTATAGCTTTTGTTACAATCCCGTCCAATGTCTGCTTCGAAGTCTCTCAATGGTTTCTCTTCTCTCACCCGTGGAGCTCAAGTCTCTACCATGACTGATTTGAACCCCAAATCAGAGGCGAAATCGGAGAGGACTACATCTCCATCGGCGGAGACGGTGGCGGTTTCCAACCGAACGGTGGCTTCAAGGTCGAGTCGTCAACCGCGGCTCTCTTTCTCCACCTTAGCTCCGTCGTCCGAGAACGATTACCCGAGGAGGAAACTGAAATCCGATGCCACCGAAGAGACGCCGCCGCAGAGAGAGGAAGTTCCGGTGTCGGTGAAGGCGGGAGAAGAAGCGGAGGAGGAGGAAGAGGAGGGTTTGAAGAGGACTTGGAATCTCCGGCCGAGGAAGGCTTGCGGCGGTTTGAAGAATGGAAACGGCGTGTTCCCGGCGGAGACGTGCGGCGGAGGAGTTACGGAGGCGAAGAATCAGAAAGCAGGCGGAGTAATGGAGCCGAAATCGAACAGGCAGAGAGGAATCCCGGCGGAATCTCCCGGATTAGGCGGCGTTGAGGTAGCGAACGAGAATCACAGGCTCTGGGTCGCTCTTTCTCGAGACGAGATCGAAGAAGACGTGTTCAGCATGAGCGGAAGCAGGCCATCTCGCCGGCCACGAAAGAGGAGCAAGACGTTGCAGAAACATCTCGATGTAACTCACACCATGTGTTCGACGAATTGCCTCACACAAAATAAAGTTTATGTTTTTATTTAAGTCTCTCGTTTCATTATCTTAGATCATTGATTAGAAATGTCTGCGATGATGATTTAGGTTATCTTCCCTGGATTGTGTCTTGTGGGGATGAATGCTGATTGCTTCAGAGTATCCAATTCTCCGGCTAAGGTGCGTACAATTCACTTTCTTGATCCGATTAGGCTTGGATCAATTACATTGATTAGTAGATTTTAAAAACTAGAAGCAATTCGAGACCTTTTGCTAATATGGTGCTTATGAAGATACAGTAAACCCATATTTGCATTCATTAGCTTAGTGTTACTGTATCTTTATGTTGTAATATCAATCAATGACTAGGAACCCTTAACAGTGATTGCGTTTCATTTGCAGCGATGATCGGCCTATATAGGCAAAAGAATATTTTGGTGAAGGAAAAAAAGGTGAAGTCATATCCCTGATTGAAACTTATCAATTTCTTGTTTATGGTAATGTCGTAATGTTAGCCTTTGCTTGATCTTTTGAGCTTTGGGCTTAATTTAGTTGGGAACTTGTTTTTGGTTTGTTGCAGGGTAGATAGGTTTGCTGGTGACATGGTCTAGTTTCAAGATACACAACAGTAAAAGATAGGAGGAGGAAATATCTCAGAGACCTGTTCTTGTCTCATATCAAACTTAGTATTAACAAAGTAATAAGTAAATATGGGTAAGTTCACAAAATATATCTATATATATAAAGAGCGAGAGAGAGGGTTCGATTTTGAGTTATTGATAATGAAATGCAAAAAAAAAAAAAAATATATATATATATATATGGTTAGTCTTATGCTTTGTAGTTAAATCTAATGGCAGAAGAAATTTTATTTCGTTATGCTCTTTTTTTTTTCTTCTGTAAACTGCCAAAGCAAAACAACAACCCATATGAAAGGTTTATTAAACCATATATAACTCTTATTAATATAGAGTTAAAAACTGATCAGACTCATAAGTATTTAAGCACAATAAGGTTCTTAAGAGAGAGCATTAAAACCTGCAGTTTGAAGCTAAAGGTCGGGTAAATGTAAATTTAACGAAACCACAGGTCAGGTTGATTAGTATCTGATAACATTGTTGAGTGGAAACAGCTATGATCGATAATATCACGTAATTGAAGGAATAAGGTTGAGCTTGAACGAAAGCAAATTCACTAAAATCTATGGGATTGTCAATGAATTCTTGAGAGATAAAATAAGCTCAAAATATAATAGTTGTGCATAAGTTTATAGTTAAAACGCAAATGAATCTGTGACAAATGTTACGAGTGATATGTGGCTCCCATATGTGAGACTGTGAAGTAGACCACTTTGAAGTTTAGAGCATATTGCTGATTAATTGTTGATGGTTTCAGATCTGATAGACCCCATTTCTGATACTTGGGATACACCTAGAATGAGGAAATCTTAAGGACATGTGTGTGGATATTATGGCATATATGAAGTACAAGGAATGGCAAACTTTTTAATTTGATTGATCGAATGCTTCCTTCAATAGAGATTGCACAAAATAAACATGGTTTCAAACCCGGAATTGTGGCCAACTTTTGCGATAGAGCTTTAAGATTGGAAGAGTTTAAAGGACCAATTCATCGATTTTGAGCTCTTTTACGAATATAGAAGCAATAATATCAAACTGAAACTCCTTACTCGTAGTGCCTGAAATAAAGGTTCATTGTTTTCTTTTGTAATGATTAATGACAGAGCTTTCTCACCATCTAAGAAGAATGATGGATTATATGCAAAGAAATTACGTTCATATTTAACCAATGATTAGAAGATTGAAGACGAAGAGGACGAGTAAAGAAGCTTACAGCAAATGATGATGAGTTTTCAGTTTGGTTTGTGTATGTATTTATAGTTCTTTTGTGTTTTTGTTTTGGATTTAGTTTAGTTTCTATCAATGTTTTTAGTTCCAGTTTGTGATGATACAAGAATAAAATTGTGTTATATGTTAGTTTCATAGTATACTTTTGTCTGATCTTTCCTAGTAACATGCATGTATTATTATAGTCTAAGAATATCGATAATTCAATTCATGTTGTTACAGCAATTTAATCTCAAATATTTGTTTAATATATATGGTATGTTATTCGGTTTTGATTCATGAAATATAAGGACAACAATGTTTCTAAACATAGGAGTTTACCTAATTTCTCCAATATTCATGTTGTGAGTCTTGTGACTATGGGAAGAATAGAAGAGATTAGAGGAGGCATGTGGTTAGTAGTGGGGTCAGTTGACCCATATTTCATTAAAAAAACAAAAAAACATAAAATCTTATACGCTTGTATCTTGACATATAATTTTGATACAATGGTAACAATTTTGTTTATTGACCCGAGTGGAAAAATGTTCAAATAACAATGTTGACTTTTGATTATCAACTTTGGCACATGATTTATGTTATATGATTTATATTTTTACAGTATTCTACTTTACATACAAAATTTGATCCCATTGAAAACAGTGGCTACACCCGCCAGTGGCCAGTGCCTCACGCCCTTACCCATAGAGATATGCTCACCGTTCATATGTGGCAAATGTGGCATCTTAATTAAGCCTAAGGCCCTAAGGTGATAAAGGATAATCTAAACCCCCAATAAGCTCAATGGGCTCGCTCGCATTTTAGGAAAAGGTCTAAGATAACCTATGATATGTGATTGATACTTCTCTCTGTTTTTTTAGGAAATGTGTTTTTTTAGTTGATTTTCTTTTATCTGCATGAGCATGCTTACTCTGGAAAAGCTTCTGCGTTTCACCCATTAGTTATGAACTCATTATTACTATAATGGGAATAATTATTTAGGGGGTTTAGGGTATATCATAGGTTATCTTAGGCGTTTTTCTCTGTTTCATCGCATAATGATTATAGTCCAGAAATCATTTGACTCTCACCGTTTATGCTCTTCTACAGCGAAGCCAAATACTCATTTCGTCGGGTTTATTGAAATATTTTGAGTTTCTTTTTTCAAGAATTAAATAATAAAATAAAATAAAAATAGTTCCGAATCAGAACTCAATCACTCTTACATGTAGTTCTGGAATAATAAACTTGAAAGAAAACGAAAAGTAATATTTGAAGTGGGCTCCTCTTGTTTCCAAAAAGCCGATTCATTTGAGAGCAACTTTCACTGATTACATCACACACGCCAGAAACAAATTATATACTGTACAATGTTGTTATCAAATACCATTTAATACTAAGAAAATGTGATATCAACTATGAAATATCAAACGTTATTGAATCCTAATCCAAAACAAAACCAAGTTAACCGCTTGTTTATGTGCCATTTTGTGTACGATGATGTTTTGCATAGAAATTGACTACTTGCTTACTGATCCAAATTTGATATATTTGGTTTTTGGCGAAAAAAAAACCCCATTACTATAATAGGAAACTGATTAGATGAGTTAATGTGTAGTTATTACCATAAAATTAGTTGGTTATAAATCATGTGCAATTAATTGCTTTATCTACGTCACACACAGTTCTCGTTGTGTTAGAGTCATGTATTTGTTTTCAACCACCGACCATACACAATCGCACAAATGATTCCTTACCCTTTCCCCAAGTGGAGAATTTGGGTCTAATAATGTAAATACCATTATTACCTTCGTTCCTACTAATATGTCAAAATTAATTTTAAAGGTTTTTAATAGTATCTAGGAAATTCCGATCACTCAGGCCTTAATTCCAAGTATTCCAAAAACTAGGCTCCAATTGATAATTACGATGTAATGACCAAAATATGTAGCTAGTGACTACACATAAATAGTGATGTTTCTACATAAGACAAAGTAATTGGTAAATAATGGAGAATTTTTTCGTCATTCTACGAGTTTCATTAGAACCATATATAAATTTTAGGTTTTTTATTTTATTTTGCAGGATGACTTAGTGTGGCCATTTTTAAATTGTGTATGTATTCTCTCAATATAAGGGTACATATTCCACTGTCCACACACAAGTAAACGTATATATATGTAACTATTTGCTTTCATTTTTGCTAATGTAATTATCCTGCAGTAACGTTATACGTCAGAAAATTGTGTGGTGGGAGTATTCTTTAAAGGTGGTAAAATGAGTCCGTACATATAATTGCACGTGTCTCGCATTATAACCCAAAGATATTCCAAACGATTTTTGGCTAATCGATGAATCACATGATCAACAGCTCACCCCATTTAAATGTGTATATGCAGAAGAATAAAAACATGCGAGTAGAAAATAGTATATGAAAAGAAAAAAAAGTATGAACAAGTTTCACATATATCCCACTTTTTGGCCTAGCCAATGTTCAAACCTTTCGAAGGTGATTTGGTTTAACAAAATTTGCAAAATCATCTGATGTTTGTAAAACGAGATCAGTTATACCTAATACAACATTTTTATAGAATACTCGATCGACAATATAGTTAGACGTGCGTTTTTTTGTAATAAGTCTACAAACAAATTATGTTTAAGATCTTAAACTATCGTAAAGTAAAAATCCACGAATAAAGATTTGATAATGCAGCTTCGTAAACCAACGTAACACAATCCTCTAGACTCTACGTACCTTTTTGTTATGGTGTCAAGATTAGGAACAGATTACTGTAGTACGTTTTCACCATCTTTAAAGTTTAAACTTTCGTTAGTTATGTGATTATAGATTTATATATATTTATTCTTCAGTTATATTTTGATATTATGAAGATGATTTATCTTCTTCTTTTTTTTGTATAAGAGAATTTATGTTCAAAAGCAAAATAGTCCAACATGCTTCTTAAACTATGCATCCTCATCGATCCGCACTCCATAAACTGAAGTTGTATGATGTATCCATCCTTATCTTTCCCTCTAATGATGTTGTGCTCTCTTTCCCGGTTGGAGAAGTCTTCTCATTTGAAATTATACATGAAATTTCTCTTTTTCAATTATAAATCCAATCTTCTCATTTGAACATTTATTAGAAATGCTTCTCAATTTCACTGAAAAATTATGCCTTCTCACATGCAATTTGAAAATAAAATCTTATCGGTTAGGATTGTAAACAAATATTTTCATTTGCAAATTATGTCAACTACAAAAACTTCTACTAAATAATTTGCAATAATATCAAAAATAAACCTGTTACTTTCATCTGTAAACAAACTTATTTAAATTCATTTATACACTATAAAATTAATAAATTTTCAGTTATCAAACGAAATTTTTTCATCAATGTTTACAAACTCTCCTATAACTTGCAATTATAAACAAAATGTTACCATTTGAACATATAAACGAAATCTTGCTATTTGCGTAAATCGAAGTCTCCCGTAATGCAATCTAATTTTTTTTTTAATAAATTGCAATTGAAAGCGAAAAATCATTTTCATTCTCATCGTAGAAAAAAATAAATACTTCTTCGAATTCTTCTATTTTTTTCACTTCTATAGAATAGAAGTAAAAGGAAGGATATTTGACCGTTGACTAGGGACAACCAAGAAGAGCATAGGAATATTTGACCAGGAATGCACGTGTGGGTGGACAAGAGCACACGTGTGCTTTGCTGTCATGGGTGGTGTGGTTCGCTTAGGAATGTGTGCGCCACGTCGGTTCCACATGGGAGGTTATATCGCACGAGCCAACTTGGTCCTTTCTTCTTTCTAATTTACAAGCATTCCTTGAAGCTTCATCTTATCATTATTTTTCATCTTATACTCATCTTTTATTTTTATTTTTAAAACATAGATTCCCTAAACCATTACTTAATTTTTTATTAGATTAATCATGACGATACTAGAATCTCAATAATTACGCAGGTAATAACAGTAATATTCATATTACATTTGATATATTATATTTCGATCAAGAAACAAACATATATACAATGTTCTATAAGGAAAAAAAAAAGAATCAAACATTGATGTCAAACGTCTAATTCGAATTATCTTCTTATTACTGCTAGTGCTAGATATAGGCCTTTTTCGTACTATTACATGCTGGACAGACTATATAATATTCGAACATATATAATAGGGATGTTAGGTCCAAACATTTATAAAGTTCCTCAATGATGACGTTAATCTACAGCCTTGTAGAGAATAATTAAGCTACACAACAAACATGACTGAAAAAAATTGATAATTTTTAAGTCCTACCGAAAAAGCTAAACATATATAGACGCCTCACATGATTACGTCATTAGAAAATACGATTTGTATTATTGAAGATTTATTCTTCGATCTTTGTTTTATAGGTATAATATTAGGTTGAACAGTTTGTTTCAAATGAAAAGCCAGATAATCATATAAATATAATGTTTTGGGTTTAAAAACAAAAATGACATGAGTATGAATTGGCATTTCATTTTCGTAAATTAACCCATGAAACTCCTTAAAATATTGGTTTTAGTGTTACCACCACTTAAGGTGTAAAACACTATTTACCGAAAAATGAAAATTTGGTTTATTAGTATTTTTATTTGCTTTAAAAAATTTTGGTTTCTAAATTTATTTCATGTTTCTGTTTGGAACGCATAAACTATGTCCTAGTTACAAAAAAAAAATGGATGCATTATTGTCAATAAACCTCAGATAATTCGAATAAAAATTGTGTCTATCCTAAATTTCATGCTCAATTTTTTTTTAAAATCTTTTGGTTCATTGACAATATTGAGAAGTTAAGAACTTTCCTTTTAATAAAAAGAAGAAAATAACAAAACTTTTTTCAAGTTGTAAATTTGCGTATAATGATTACAAAGAAGCAAAAATGATTAAGGAGCGTAGAAGCAAATGATAAGATGTCGGCGCGTGAGGTAACAAAAGAAAACGCACGGCCGGGTCGAGTGTTTTCGGGTCCCCTATAGTCACGTGAGTGACCCACCTGCCCATGTTACCCTCTGGAGCCCAAAACTATAGAGTTATTCAATTCCGAATTAAAAAAAAAAAAGAAAAACCAAATAAAACATCTTTCGCCGGTGAAACCTTACTTCCTTCTCACATCATTTGTCAACAACAATAAATCAATAATACATTAATCATATTTCAGCTATAGCTACATGATAATGATAAAGCAATTAAATTACCATACCACCAATGACATACCTGTGTCTCCAGCCTGCAGCTGCATTCTCTATTGCCAAGTCCCATATGACTTGGCTATGTTGATTGTTGCTCAAGTAGCATTTAAAGAGAGTTGCACAGATGACACAAGAAGAGTATAAACATAAGCCAATATATACATTCCTAGTAAGAGTCATTCTAAACGTACATCTCTTATAATGCCAATTTTATCTTTTTTTCCATTTCCAATTATATCTTTTGAAAATTTTGGCCAAATGATCTTGGGACTCTTAAAAATGCCCTAGTCGGTACTTACTCGAGACATGAACAAAAATTGGATACTTTTGACAACCTGCAAATAAACCAAATACTATTTAAATGTATATATAAATTATTTGTTTGGATGTTTGGCGTAAAGCTAAATAGGCGCTTTAAGCCCTTTTGATTTGGAAGACTTTGCATATAAAAAATTAGATAACAAAATTCTTGTTTCACAATTTACAAGAAATAATCCGGCTAGTCAAACTTTAAGAAACCATTCACCAACAAATGTGGGAAAAAACCAACGAGCATCCTTGTAATATAACAGAAGTAATCAATAAAAAGATATTGAAACACTTGGACTTAAATCTTCAAAATAGCATTACACTGTAAGAAATGTTTGCACAAATAATATTCTAAAACTTTTTTATAAATTTTGGCGTTAAAGCTGGTGTTTTAAACCCAAATCTAGTCGGCAAATAAATAAGGCGGGATCTTAAATTTACCACCTCATTATAAGAATTCAGCTTCATTATCACCTCAGGCGGGATCTTATGCCTTTTAGCAATAACAATTCTTAATAGCTTAACTATATTATTTTGCTTTGTAAGTTTTTTTATTTCATTTGGTTAGTATTTATTTGTTTTATGATTATCATTTATCACGTCTCAGTCTCAATTGTGAGAGCTCACAAAATTTAAATGAAGATAGAGAAACAGTCAATAAATATTGGATCCATGAAGATGGTGTTATTGTAATGATAGATCCCACATCCCACATGGATATGATTGGATCACAACAGTTGATTGGCCCACAACTTTGAAGGAGTTCAGATTCATGTGGATTGTGTTTGTACCAACCACTTGATTTAGTCCATTCTTTTCATTATTCGATCAACAAATTATTGCCAGCTATTTCTTGATATTTGGTCTCATCCGTGTGTGATCTTGACTGATTGAGTTATTTTTCTTTATTCATTATATTTTTTTTTTCTTTCATAGAAAGTCCATTTTAAAGAAGTTATCACAACCAAATTTTTTTTCAAGATGAGAATCGTGATGCCTGATAGTATACATATAAATGATATTAGTGAAGGAAATAATGGTGGTATTTGATAACCTATGCATAAATTTGTGGTAATTTGTATTTTTTTCATCCAAAATATCATTTAGATAAACCAAAATATGTATAATGATTTTTTTAATAACTGGCTTTTTAGAAAAATGTCTGCAATTTACATTCCGAAGAAGACATCTTATCAAAACTCGTTTTTTACTGGCATGGTCTCAAATTAATGCAATAATGAGATTCATGGATATTCTCAAATCAGGAGTTCTGCATATCAGGGTATGTATTTAACTAGAGCCATTTTATCTGTGAATATATATATATATATATAGTATATGTATGTAACCAATTTGTTTCTAAATCACAAAATGATGGGTTTGTCCAATATATACCTCCTCAACTCCTCATTAAAGGTTTATTTTAACCTGAAGCGTATGAATTTGTAAGTATATAGAATAGATTGAATATGTGAGTCTAGATTAAAATTTGAAAATAGACTTTGGATTCCATACATATATAGATAGAACAATTTTTAATTTATGGAAATAGTTAGCTAAAGAGAGGACTTCATCATGTACTAGAATAGTAAAAGAAGAAAAGATAAAGAGAAGACAAAGAGGGAACAAGTTGGGGATAGAATAATAGAGGTTTCAAAAGAGCATAATAGATTATATAATTGGCCAACCTGACAACCTCTCATTTCATTGAACTCCTATATTAATCCTCTTTTTTTCATTCCCACTTCACATCTCATTATCTCTCTCTGTCTCTCTCTCTCCATAAGAGCCCTAGAAGGTTGCTCTTGTCCTCTTTACACTTTCTTCCACTGCAATAAAACTTAGAGCTTTTGAGGTAAACTCAGCAATAAGAAGGTTTCTCTTAGTCAGCTATACCCATAAAAATCAAAGCTTTTTATATTCTCATTTCCCAAAACATTAGTATTTGAAATTCTTGGGGTCAAGGCCAATAGTATATATCATGATGATGGGAAAAGAGGATCTGGGTCTAAGTCTGAGCTTGGGATTTGCACAAAATCATCATCCTCTCCAGCTGAATCTCAAATCAACTTCTTCACCATTGTCCAATCTCCAGATGTTTCCATCGAACCAAACCTTCGTCTCCTCCTCAGGTACGTTTCTTCTTCTTCTTCTACTTCCACAAATTCTTGACATCTTTTCACCAAGAAACAAACAGATCTCAAAAATGACCCTTTTTTTTTCATTTTTGCAGATAATCACCAAAACCAACAGTTTCTTAGGAAAATCGACGTGAACAGCTTGCCGTCGACGGTGGATTTGGAGGAGGAGACAGGAGTTTCTTCCCCAAACAGCACGATCTCGAGCACCGTGAGCGGCAAGAGGAGGAGCGAGAGAGAAGGAACCTCCGGTGGTGCCGGAGATCATGACCTCGACATAACTCTGGATCGATCTTCCTCACGTGGAAGTGGAACCTCCGACGAAGAAGAAGAAGAATACGGAGGAGAGGCTTGTCGGAAAAAGCTCAGGCTTTCCAAAGATCAATCTGCTGTTCTCGAAGACACTTTCAAAGACCACAATACTCTCAATCCCGTAAGTCACACTCACACTATTCAACATCTCATGAGTGAGAGAGTTATTCTCGTAAATACTCTGATCTAACAAGGGCTTTATGGTAAATATACACAGAAACAGAAGCTGGCTTTGGCTAAGAAGCTAGGCTTAACAGCAAGACAAGTGGAAGTGTGGTTCCAAAACAGAAGAGCAAGGTAAGAGAAATTCAGACAACTCATTCTATCATTGACTATTATACCCTTCGAGACCAATATGTTTATTTACAATGTACAACCAATTTTGTGTCTAAAATAGGACCAAACTAAAGCAAACCGAAGTGGATTGTGAGTATTTGAAGAGATGCGTAGAGAAACTGACGGAAGAGAATCGGCGGCTCGAGAAAGAGGCGGCAGAGTTGAGGGCACTAAAGCTTTCGCCGAGGTTGTATGGTCAGATGAGTCCACCGACCACGCTTCTCATGTGTCCATCATGCGAACGTGTGGCCGGACCATCGAAATACAACCAACGGTCTGTTTCTTTGAGCCCGTGGCTCCAAATGGCTCATGGGTCAACTTTTGATGTGATGCGTCCTAGGTCCTAATTAACTTTCTTCCGGTTCTATGGGTTATAATGCTGTGTGGGTCATTGTACTTTTTAAATTATTGACTCTCGCAATGTAAGCCTTTTGTCATTTTAAACTACTAAACCTGATTAAATTAGGTATTCTTGATGATAAACAATACATATATAAAGAAATGGAAAAAAAAATTCAGGTCCATCCTTGTTTTGTTTCTCAGCTCTTCCTTAACCACACTACAATGTCGACAAAATCATGAAATCTAACTTAATTTACGTTTTGAAAAGATCTTAATATCTCCCAAACAGCTTAACCTTTAGAAAACGAAACCTACTTAATTAGTTTTCAGATTTTTTTTTCCAACAATTAGTTTTCAGATTTCAAATAGATCTATTTCATAGGATTCCCAGACATGTCATAAACAAATCTTAACGAATTTAAATGGAGTACAAAACAAATGGCACATACACCCAATAAAAATTTAAATGAAAATGTGTACTACTCACTGCTCGACGTAATGGTTGTTTTATATTATTTCTTACCCGCACAAACCTTTACCCGCACAAACCTTATAACATCCCGATTTTCGGTATATGAAAAGGCTTATAAGAATTGATTTGGCTACCTATGTCAATAATGTGCATTTATCTTTTCCGGTCAAGTGTGCTGAGAGAACTCCAGAGTTAAGCATGCTGATGCTGGAGTAATCTCAGGATGGGTGACCTACCGGGAAGTACTCTGCGGTACCGTGCAAGTGAGGACAAAGCACGGGAAAGATCATGTGGTGATTGCAGGGACAGTAGACAAGTCTTACGAGCCTTCCGGACTAACGACTCCCGACCGTCGGACAGTGGTGGGCCAACGGGCCTAGAGAGAGGACGTTGGGCCCACGGGCCTAGAGAGGACGGAGTTAGGATTGATATCGCCGGTCCGCGTCCGGTTCCTAAAGGGAGGATGGGTCGGGATGTCACAAGTGGTATCAGAGCCGACACCCAACCACGTGTGTGGAGTCGTCATGTGGCCTCACACCGTAACAGGGTGAACGATCCTGGTGCAAGCACTGTGGGAGTAAAGGGAGAATTCGGGGACGAATTCCTTGGAAGTCGGGGAGAATTGTAACATCCCGATTTCTGGTATATGGAAAGACTTATAAGAATTGATTTGGTTACCTATGTCATCAAAGTGCACTTATCTTTTCCGGTCAAGTGTGCTGAGAGAACTCCAGAGTTAAGCGTGCTGATGCCTGAGTAATCTCAGGATGGGTGACCTACTGGGAAGTACTCTGCGGTACCGTGCAAGTGAGGACAAAGCACGGAGAAAGATCATGTGGTGATTGCAGAGACAGTAGACAAGTCTTACGAGCCTTCCGGACTAACGACTCCCGACCGTCGGACAGTGGTGGGCCAACGGGCCTAGAGAGGACGTTGGGCCAACGGGCCTAGAGAGAGGACGTTGGGCCCACGGGCCTAGAGAGGGTGTTGGGCTCACTGGGAGGGGCGGTTGGGGGGAGTTAGGATTGATATCGCCGGTCCGCGTCCGGTTCCTAAAAAGAGGATGGGTCGGGATGTCACAAACCTTGACGTGGTCCAGGTAATAGATTTATCGGTCTATACAAATGGTGTGTTATCTAAATCCTCTTAAGTCCTAATATTGTTACCTCGACGAAAAACTATATGTGATGTGATTGGTAATCTTGCAGAATTGCGGAATGGCATAAATTAAAAAATTCTGCGTAATGGATTAATTTATTTGTAACTCGTTTTTTCGGATTAGTTTTTTTTGTATTGTATTTTAAATAAAAATATAGTATGTATATTTTTTCATTCTACAAATTTTTGTTGATTAGCATAAAAATCTGCAGAATTATATTTTAAAAACATAATTCCACCATTTCACAGGTTACCAGAGCCATGGATTTCAGGCCATAATTCCTTGATTAAATAAGTAAGACTAGACTATCGAGTAATAAAAACTTCTCATTTTGGGGCGACGCTTTAGGCGATAAACAAAAACGGTTTCTGAAGAATCTTTAGCCATTGATTCTGGCCGGTGGCCGACGCATCTCGAGTGTCGGTACTGTGCCCCTATTTTTATTATATATTTATGTATCTATGTATGTATATCTTCCTCCTTTTCCGTTTGGGTTGGGTTTCTAAGTGTTTGTCCGATTTGAATTCCATCACTTTTGGGAAATCTGGAGTGTCATCTACAACATCTAGCAAATTATTAGATGATTGTGTTTTTCTTGAATGCGATACTGGATCATTGACGATATCAGCGGTTATGCTACACGGGGGTTTCTTCATGCGACACCTATGGTGGTATATCATTGTAACCGATGATGTTACACAGCGATGGTCCCTGGTTTCGTTCAAGCGTGGTCGGTTCCAATGGGTAACCGTTTCTCTCTCTTATGTAGAGTTTCTTTCCGGTTTGATCGGTTTATGTGTTGGATTGTTGTTGTCGATACAACCAATCGATCTTCTCAAAATTGCCGTATATGGGATCCCGGAATTTTGGTCATGATATATAAAACTGCAGCCGTTAACCAGAAACATAAGACGATGACACCACATCAACCAAAACTAGATGAAAGTGGGATTTTTGCACAACCTTATGTAAAAGAGATGTTAAAAGAGATGTTAGTTTCTTTTTATCTTTTGTTGTCGGAACTAACTTCTGCGGAATTGGAGGCAAGATGTAGAAGTTTGATTTCAGAAAGGAGAAAATCAAAGTCAAAATATTTCAAAAAGACTCTAATACGGAAGCATTGGTATCAGATTGTCGAAGTTCCAGAACTATTACCGGAAGCATCGGGTTTTGTCGTGCGGTGTGTAATTCAAAAGTTTAGCCAAAAGATGCTAACGACGCATATTTTGCATCAGATCAAATACGAAGAGGGAAATAACGAATTTTATGATTCGTTAGCGAGTAAGACTTATCTACGGAAAGCATCGTCAAAATCACTTCTTTTGTTGTATCCTTTTCAGTATATGGCGCATATATCTACTTATGTAATAACTTGTTTTCTGAAAGTTCTGTATGCCGTAATCCTTGAAATTAATAATATTGTTTGCCGTAAAAAAAAAATTAAGTAAGACTAATAATGATTTATTAAGTGCTTATTAGTCTCATTGGGTCTTGATGAAGTCCACTTGATGGGCCGAATTTTACGGCCCAACTTGTCGCTGTCGTCGTCTTCGTCGATTTCACGGTGAAATTTTCTCCCGTGAAACTCTCGCCGTCGTTCCGTGCCGTACATATTATTTTCAGGTAACGAAATAAGGGGTTTGATTCAATTCTTATTCCACCTGCAAAGGGTAGATGCTGATTAACTCGATCCATCGTCTGATTTCCCTTTGTTTCGATCACAAAGTAGCTTAGTAAGTTTTGAAGAAATTAGGTGATGAAGAACGCTCAAGTCAAAAGGCATGTATGTACCACACAGCTTCCTCATCGCATAAATCTATTCGGGTTTCATCTAAATTCTCTAGATTTTCATGTTTAAACTAGTTCATAGCACGTCTCTGGCATTATACAAGATGAAGAAAAATTGGATAAAATTGCAATATTTGATAAATAATGAAGCTTTTGTTCTCGTTTATTGGATTGATATAGGACCTTTTTTTTGAGAGAGCATAACAATGTGGCTTTATTCATTGGTTCAGGTTGATCTGCATCATCAAGATTGCAATGTCTTCCATTGCATTGCTGCTGAGTCTGCATCAAGAAGAAAACATAGGCTGGTTCTGGAGGTAAGGCACAACGTATTTCACAACGTCATCATGCGCCATTTGGAGGTGCTTTCCAGGGACACTGACAAACTTCACTTTTCCAGCAGCATCCAAGGTTTTCAGACCAATCCAGTCCTCTTTATAGAGCTTTGTCTGGAAGAGAATGCCTAGTTTAGAAAAACAAGTGGTTTGATTGATGATTCAAGAAAAGAAATGAAATTTGAGGATCATTGAGGTTCACCTGTTGAGGAGGCAGAAGAGGTGTTGAAGCTCCATCCGGGTAATATCCGAACCAGCAACTTTCTTTAGGAATCACTACTGTATCACCCTGGAACTGTTTTAGAGAAATGAAGAAAAAACAAAATCAACGAGCCAATCCAGCAATGTTGTTACAAGATTTGGGTGAAATGTCAAGGATCACTGGTTTAGGCACCATGACGAGGACCAAGTTGTGCAAGCTGGTAAAACGTTCTTTATAAGTGGAGTTCCTCTCGTTAGGTCTTTCGTTGTTGAGCTTTGGCAGATACTTGGAGTGTTTCAGGTAATTTTTCATATCCTGAGAACCAGATAACAACGCTTTCTCCGTTGAGGTATTCATATAGTAAGAAGTGATTTGAGGATTAGAAAGAAAAGGGTTTTGAGTTTACGGTAGGGATTTTTATATAACCACTTGGAGCAATATGATCCTGCAGAGTCATTACCGGCGTTGTCAATGAAGAGTGTTAATCATTGTTTAAGGATTTGGATCTTGATTAGAGATGAAGAAAGAGAGAAAGTATACTTGAACGTAGTCGCTGTAGACATCTGTTTTAAGCAGCTGGCAAACTGGAGACTTTAAAACAGAGAAGCCCATTGTTGTTGTGATTGTGATTAAGAATGGGACTGTAAATAAGGACACAGAGATAAAGAGAAAGAGAAGAGAACTCACAGAACAGTTGGGGATGTCGGATATGCCAGCGTGAGGACCTCCTAAGGAGACGTAGTTGAAGACAGGAGGAGCATTGTCGCAGAACTCGATTAGGCCTCGAGCGACCATGTTTCCTTGAGACTGTGCAACAATGTTGTAACCTTGACGCAGCTCTTTCATCTGTTTTACTTTTTCACACGCTACACTCGCTTGTTGCGTAAGCGGCATGGACACGGAATCTTTTTCTCCATTTCCTATTTCTCTGCAAGATGACACATACCAAAGAGACAGCGATGAACACTTTTGCAAGATTATGATGAAACAACAAGAAGAAGAAGAAGGAATAAGTTGAGTGTGTACAAGCAAGAGCCAGGGGAGCTGGAGAGGTTGCTAAGGAGCTGTGTGAAGCTGCTCGGTCCACCATTGGAGCATTGGTCTCGAACCCCTGTTTCAGTCAAATCCATTTATTGCATTTGATTCATTATTGATTGAGAAGATAACAGAAGGAGCAAGAAGAAGGATCTTTGATTACCGTGAAAGAGAATGAATGGAACAGAGATTGAAACCGGAATGAAGAAGAAGAGTGACAAAGTCACAAGGAGAGCAGATCGCTGGAAACTCTTCTCCATGGAAGAACTCAAAGAGAAATACTTTACCTTTTTAATTTTTTAGGAAGCCGAAGAAGCAAGAAGACAAGAAGTGTACAGATTAATAGTTTGATACATATTAATCTAATAATGGAAGAAAATTTATTACTTGGTGGTTGGTGTATGGTAGGATTTCTAAATTGTTCAATGGGATCAAATGAAAATATAAAGGAACCGCAAGCGGTGGTTGGTGCTTGTTTAATTTTCTTATCGACTTGGAAATTTAAATCATAGCTCATTTTTTTGGGAACTAAATTTGCTGTTACTTAAAGAATGTTACAGTTTTAAAAAAATTTATCTGATTTTCTTAAGAGAAATCTACACATTCTTATAAAATATGACAAAGGAGGATTATCTGATTATTAGGTGATTTTCACAATGTTTGAGTTATAACATCTAAATTTTGTCACCTATAATTTGAAATTTTACTAAAACCCTTTTCAAATCTTTCTACATTTAAAGTTGACAATTCTACTTTATACTATTGAATAGCATCTAACTACTTTCAAAATCTTTTATTTTGAAATAACACAGAACTAGATCTGAATACAGGTTAATGAAGCATGTGTTTCAAGGCCGATAATTTTAAAAATTATATTGAGACCAATTTTCTAGAAAATGAGTTAGTTCGGTTGATCTTGTGTGCGGGTGACCATTTTTCTTCTTTTTTAAAAAATTGGTCTACAATTTATCCCACGTCAACAAAATACGATTTCTCTTATTTTTTAGAAAGTTGGTCTACAACTTGTCCTACATCAAAAAAGACTCAAACACTTCACTAGTAGGTTCTCCTTGCGATATCCAAAAAAAAATCTATCTACACTTGCTACCGTATCTGCTTTCTGTTGGATAAGCTTGAATACTTGGACAGCAAGATATTAGGAAAAGGAAATATTCCTAGGAGTTATCTAAGGATTAGGAAATTACTATTTCTAATAGGTTTAGGAGTTATCTAACCTACTCAATATATAAGAGTTACCAAAGTTTGTGGTAAATCTTATGAGGTTGAGAGCTTTAGTTTTTGAGTTAGTTTTCTAAAGCAATAAAGAGACTTATTCTAAATTCTTGAGTTCTTAAGTTCATAATCGATATTACAAACTTGATTTGGTATCAGAGCTAACAAAACATGGGGGATTTGATACCTGCGACAGAGAAACCTAAAGAAGGAGGACCTTCTTCAATCACATGCCCGATGCTTAACACAACTAATTATACGGTCTGGTCTATGCGAATGAGAATTTGTCTCAAAGTCCACAAAGTCTGGGAATCAGTGGATCCAGGAACAGCAGACGAAGAGAAAAACAACTTGGCGATGGGTCTGTTATTCCAATCTATACCGGAGTCTTTAGTGTTACAGGTCGGCGAGCTTACAACCGCAAAACAAATATGGGAAGCGATCAGAACAAGATACGTTGGAGCAGAGAGGGTGAAAGAGGCTCGATTACAAACTTTAATGGCTGAGTTTGACCGATTAAAGATGAAGGAATCTGAGAACATCGATGAGTTTTCAGGGAAACTATCGGAGATCTCGTCAAAATCAGCAGCTCTTGGAGTAAGTATCGAAGACTCCAAGCTAGTAAAGAAATTTCTTAAAAGTCTGCCTCGGAAATACATTCACATTGTGGCGTCTCTCGAACAAGTCTTGGATCTTAATGCAACCAGTTTCGAAGAGATCATAGGACGGTTAAAAGCTTATGAAGAGAGGATTTCCGAAGAAGAAGTAACACAAGAAGATACAACGAAACTTATGTATGCGAATTCTGATGACCAGACAGGACAATCAAGTCAGGATTACAACAGTAACTGGAACAACAATTGGAGAGGAAGAGGTCGTGGAGGACGACGAGGCAGGGGTCGTGGAAGAACAAACCAAAGAAGAGATGCATCATCGATATCCTGTTATCAATGTGATAAGGTCGGCCACTATGCCTCTGATTGTCCAGATCGACTATTGAAGCTCCAAGAAACACAAGAAAGTAATAATAATGAGACACAGAGTGCCGATGAGTTACTGATGCATGAGGTGGTCTACTTGAACGAAAAACACTGCACACCTAGCAACTATGAGACAAACTCAGGAGATGAGGACATATGGTATCTCGATAATGGGGCTAGCAATCACATGACGGGTGATCGGAGATATTTTTCAAGAATCGACGAATCAATCACAGGAAAAGTTCGATTTGGTGATGATTCTCGAATAGATATTAAAGGCAAAGGATCAATCTCGTTCACAGATATGAATGGAGAGCCAAGAACGATGACAGACGTCTACTTTATCCCAGATCTTAAAAGCAACATAATTAGCCTTGGACAAGCAACAGAATCCGGATGCGATATAAGGATGAAGGGAGAATGTTTGACAATGCATGATGCAAAGGGAAAGCTTCTTGCAAAAGCCAATCGGTCCAAGAACAGGTTATACAAGGTTCGTATGGGGATAAGAGAACATCAATGTCTACATCTATCAACAATGAGTGAATCGAAGAAGTGGCATTCAAGACTTGGACACATAAACTTTGATACGATCAAATCCATGGTGAGCAAGGAACTCGTGCAAGGGATTTCTGGTGTGAGGTTTGAAAAGGAGATATGTGGTAAATGTCTATTGGGAAAACAGGCGAGAAAGGCATTCCCTCAAGCCACAAGTTATCGAGCAAACAAAGTACTTGAACTCGTACATGGTGATCTGTGTGGCCCTATATCACCAAGTACTTCAGCTGGGAACAAGTACATATTCGTGATTATCGACGACTGCACCAGATATATGTGGACAATTCTTCTCAAAGAGAAAAGTGATGCTTTCACAAAATTCAAAAAGTTCAAAAATTTAGTCGAAGCAGAGTCAGGAGAAAGAATCCAAACTTTTCGAACAGACAGAGGAGGTGAATTCGTCAACAGCGAGTTTAATGACTTATGTGATACAACAGGCATAAGGAAGCATCTCACTGCACCATACACTCCACAACAAAACGGTGTTGTGGAGAGAATGAACAGAACGTTGTTAGAAATGGCGAGGAGCATTATGAAGGACATGCGAGTGCCAAACCATTTATGGGGAGAAGCTATTAGGCACAGCACATATATCATAAATCGGGTAGCCACACGAGCACTAACAGACAAAACACCATACGAGCTTTACTGAAGCAAGAAACCAAACATAAGCCATCTGAAGATTTTTGGGTGTATCGCATATGCGAAAGTTGAAAAACCATCGCTTAAAAAGCTAGACGATAGAGCTCGTATGCTTGTTCATCTCGGAACAGAGCCCGGATCAAAGGCTTATCGATTGCTTGACCCACAAGCCCGGAGAATAATAGTAAGCAGAGACGTGGTGTTTGATGAGACAAAAGGATGGAATTGGAATTCATTGGATCCTGAAGATAGACAAAACGGAGGTTTTAAGGTCATCTTAGGGGAATTTGGAAATCATGGCATCCAAAGAACAGATACCGAACCTGAAACAGAGCAAGAAGTCGAAACAGGGGAGGATATCGATTCACCTGGAGATGTAATCGGAAATAATGGTGATACAGCTGCGTACGAAGAAGAAGCGGATACTCAGAGTGAGAATACTCAAACACAACCAGCTCTGTGAAGATCGACAAGACCATCAGTACCTCCCAAGTACTTGGTGGAGAATTACGTGCTGTTAGCTGAAGAGGAAGGCGCGAAATTATTGATGTGCATGAATGATGAACCGGCCAACTTCGAAGAAGCCAAGCGATCAAAAGAATGGAGGAACGCATGTGAGGCTGAACTCGGTTCAATCGAGAAGAATGGAACCTGGATTCTGGTCGATCTTCCACCTGGAACAAAACCCATAGGACTGAAATGGGTATTCAAACTAAAAAGAAACTCAGATGGGAGTATTAACAAGTACAAAGCTCGTTTGGTGGCAAAGGTTATGTACAACGTTATGGAGTTGATTTCGATGGTGTTTTTGCACCAGTAGCACGATTGGAAAGCATAAGGTTACTCGTTAATCTTGCAGCATCGAACAGGTGGGAAATACATCATCTAGATGTCAAGACAGCTTTCCTCCATGGGGACCTAAAGGAAGTAGTATACGTTGCGCAACCAGAGGGGTACGAAAGGAAAGGAGAAGAAGCCGAAGTCTACAAATTACATAAAGCTTTGTATGGGTTAAAACAGGCACCTAGAGCATGGAACAACAAGTTAAACGACATTCTTGTGGGGTTAAAGTTTTGAAAAATGCTCAAAGGAACCATCTGTTTATCGAAAGGAGCTTGGTGGAAGTCTCTTGATAGTAGCGGTGTATGTTGATGACTTGTTCGTCACAGGTTCGAATAGAGAAGTCATTAACAAGTTCAAGGGAGAGATGTCTTCGAAGTTTGACATGAGCGATCTCGGAAGGTTAACATACTATCTTGGAATAGAAGTATGTCAACATGAAGAAGGTATTTCCTTGTGTCAAACTCGATATGCTTGCAAAATCTTGGAAGAAGCTGGACTAATGAACTGCAATCCAACGCAAATACCAATGGAGCTTGGACTAAAGTTGTCAAAGGCAGAAGATGAAAAAGAGATCGATGCAACAGGGTATCGGAAAAAGGTTGGCTGTCTCAGATACCTACTTCACACAAGACCAGATCTCTCATACTGCGTAGGAGTGTTGAGTCGATACATGCAAAGTCCAAGAGCATCTCATGGGGCTGCAATAAAACAGTGCTTGCGGTACTTACAAGGTACTACTTCGATGGGACTTGTTTTTAAACATCCAGGTTCAAAGGTACCTAAACTACTTGGCTATAGTGATAGTAGTCATAACGTGGATCCTGATGATGGTAAGTGTACTGCCGGTCACATTTTTTATCTTGGAGAGAGTCCTATCACTTGGTGCTCACAGAAACAAGAGATAGTAGCATTGTCTTCCTGTGAAGCCGAGTTTATGGCAGGAACTGAAGCAGCAAGACAGGCGATCTGGTTGCAAGATCTATTGAGTGAAGTCACAGGGTCATCGAGTGAAAGAGTAGTCATTCGAATTGACAACCAATCCACTATAGCTCTTACGAAGAATCCGGTTTTCCATGGACGAAGCAAGCACATACACAGAAGATTTCACTTCATCAGAGAATGTGTTGAGCACGGACAAATAGAAGTTGAACATGTCCCTGGAGCTGAACAAAAGGCTGACATTTTAACAAAAGCTCTTGGGAGAATCAAGTTCAAAGAAATGAGAGAATACATAGGAGTTCAGGATGTGTCCAAGAGTGGCTTCAAGCTTAAAGGGGAGAATGTTGGATAAGCTTGAATACTTGGACAGCAAGATATTAGGAAAATGAAATATTCCTAGGAGTTATCTAAGGATTAGGAAATTACTATTTCTAATAGGTTTAGGAGTTATTTAACCTACTCAATATATAAGAGTTACCAAAGTTTGTGGTAAATCTTATGAGGTTGAGAGCTTTAGTTTTTGAGTTAGTTTTCTAAAGCAATAAAGAGAGTTATTTTAAATTCTTGAGTTCTTAAGTTCATAATCGATATTACAAACTTGACTTTCAAGAAGTCTTCCTCTTCCTCTGCGATTCTCTTGCTAAATCTTGCCATTTACTGAATTTAGATTTTTTTTTTCTCTCTCCATGTTTTAAATTAGTAAAAGCACGAGTAACTTGGGATGTACGGAACCATGTTATTGGGATGAAATTGACCATCTTTGATCAATGATGAAGCTTTTGTTTTTCGTTAATTGGATTGTTGTTGACCGTTTTCCGGAAAGAGCATAACAATGTGGCCTTTTAATTCATTAGTTGAGGTTGATCTGCATCAAGATATTACGGATGTCTATATTGCCTTGTGGTTGAGTCTTGCATCAAGAAGAAAACGTAGGCTGGTTCTGGAGGTAAGGCACAACGTATCTCACAGCGTCATCTTGCGCCATTTGGTTGTGCTCTCCAGGGACACTGACAAACTTCACTTTTCCAGCATCATCCAAGGTTTTCAGACCAATCCAGTCCTCTGTATAGAGCTTTGTCTGGAGAAAGAATATAATATATAATTTGTTAGAACACAAGTGGTTGATGAAATTGAGGATGATTTAAGGGTCACCTGTTGAGGAGACAAAAGAGGTGTGGAAGCTCCATCTGGGTAATATCCGAACCAACAACTTTCTTTAGGAATCACTACTTTATCACCCTGGAACTGTTTTTATTAGGAAATGAAGAAAAACAAAATTAATGAGCTAATCCAACATTAATGGTGTTAAAGATTTGGTTGAAATCTCAAGGATGCACACCATGACGAGGACCAAGTTCTGCAAACTGGTGAATCGGTCTTTAAACGTGGAGTTCCTCTCGTTAGCTCTCTCGTTGTTGAGCATTGGCAGGTACTTGGAGTGTTCCAGGTACTCTGACATTTCCTGAGAACCCAACATATAACAAGGCTTTTTTTTAGATTGAAGTATATATTCATGTAAGAGGAAATGATTGAGGATGAAAGAAAAGGGTTTTAAGTTTACGGTAGGGATTTTTATATAACCACTTGGAGCAATATGATCCTGCAGAGTCATTAGAGGTATTAATCATGGTTTTAACGTTTTGGATCTTGATTAGTGAAAAAGAAGAAGAAAGAAAGAAAAGGTATACTTGAACGTAGTCGCTGTAGGTCTCTGTTATCAGCAGCTGGCAAGCTAGAGACTTTAAACAGAGAAGCCCGTTGTTGTTTGTTGTTATTGTGATTAAGAATGTGATTAAGATACAGAGAAAAAAAAAGAGAAGAGGAAGAGAGAACTCACAGAACAGTACTCAGGGATGTCGGAGATGCCAGCGTGAGGACCTCCTAAAGATATATAGTTGAAGACAGGAGGAGCATTGTCGCAGAACTCGATTAAGCCTCTTGCTACTAAGTTTCCTTGAGACTGTCCGACGATGTTGTAACCTTGACTCAGCTCTTTCATCTGTTTTACTTTCTCACAAGCTACACTCGCTTGTTGCGTAAGCGGCATGGACACTGAATCTTCTTCTCCATTTCCTATTTCTCTACAAGATGACACATAATAGAGAGAGAGACAGCCATAAAAACCCTTTTGCTAGATTGTGATGAATCAAGAAGAAGGAATTAGACTTTAGTTGAGTGAGAGTACAAGCAAGATCCAGGGGAGCCTGAGAGATTGCTAAGGAGCTGTGTGAAGCTGCTCACTGTTGCATAGGAGCATTGTTCTTGAACCCCTGTTTCAATCAATGTCCATTAGTGTTGTTAACCCATCAGTGCTTAAAAAAGGAAAGAGGAGAAGGAAGAACATTGATCGTTAATTACCGTGAAAGAGAATGAATGGAACCGAGATTGCAACCGGAATGAAGAAGAAGATGGACAAAGTCACAAGTAGAGCAGATCGCTTGAAACTCTTCTCCATGGAAGAAGAACTCAGTGAAATAATTTACCTTTAATTTTGGAAGAAGCCGAACAAGTAATAATGATGACAATAAGTAGTGTACGTTTGATATACAGCAGATATTTTTGGAACATAATTTATTACTTGGTGGTTGGTGTATGGCCGGATCTTTAAATTATTGGATGAAATAAAATTCAAAGAACCGCTATCGTGTGGTTGGTGCTTGTTCTCTTATTGACTTGGAAATTTAGATCATAGTTTTTTTTTTTAACAAAATTTGCTGTTATTCAAAAAGTATACTCCATTCATTTCAAAATATAAATCGTTCTCATTCAAAATTCAAATACTTGATATTTTTTCCATTTTTATCCATACTCTTTTAGTTTTTTATTAGTGTGAACATATTCTATAGTGTATTAATGAAGAGTAACAGAAGACTGAATTGTTTTCTTAATATGTATAAAAAAATTTAAAAACAATTTCTATTTTGAATTGGAGGTAGTAATAATTTTGAAACTTTATTTTAATTTTTTTAAGAAAAAAATCTACACATTTTTTAAAAATATGACAAAAAGGATATATATTTATGATTTTGGTTTATAAGAATTAAAATCGGAAGTAAACTCCAATATGATATGATTTTCGCAATGTTTGAATTATAAAATCAAGATTTTACCCAACATTTTAGAAATTTATTGAAAACCTTTTCAAGTCTTTCAACATTTAAGGATTTGAAAATTCTATTTTTTCTTGAATAATGAATAGCATCTATAAATTTATTTTTAAAATCATTATTTTTGAATAACACTAAACAATAAAATATTCTAAACATAATTGGTTAATATCAAAATAAATAACACACGATTTTTAGTCAATAATTTCAAATTTCAAAGTATTAGTTTGATAGTCACATGTTTGAAGAATTTACAAACTTGTATGCATCAAGCCTTCAAGTAAGGCACAACGTATTTCTCAACGTCCTCGTCCGTTATACTGAGGTGGTCCCCTGAGACGCTCACAAACTTTACTTTTCCGACATCATCCAATGCTTTCAGACCGATCCAGTCTTCTCTATATAGTTTTGTCTGAACATAAAGGTTTTTTAAAAAACAATTCTTCAATGAAGAAATGAAACAGAGAGAGAGAGAGATGAGAGAAATATTCACCTGTTGAGTTGACAAAAAAGACTCGAATCCTTCATCTGTATAATATCCGAACCAAGCAGTTTCTTTAGGGATCAGTGTTGTGTCGTTCTGGAACTGGTTATGAATTAAGAAGACGAAACACACAACAATGAGCTTAAAAAACCAGATTTTTTAATCTCTGAATTGAAGGAAAGGGGACAGTAAATAAGTACCATGACAAGAACCAAGTTGTGTAAGCTGGCGAAACGGTCTTTGAAAGTGGAGTTTCTTTCGTCAGGTCTCTCGTTGTTAAGCTTTGGCAGATACTTAGAGTGTTTCAAATACTTAGTCATTTCCTGAGAAAAACCAATGCCATTGAGTTTTGAAAACCCAAATCTACTTTAAATTAACTTGATTTCATCGGTTAACTAAATAACTTACACCAGGGATCTTGACATAATTACTAGGAGCAATATGATCCTGCACATTCGTTAAATTTATCAAATCATGATTTTAAAAGACTTTTGATCTTGAATAAAGAGATATAGAGAATAGAGTGTTACTTGAACAAAGTCGTTATAGACCTCTAACTTCATCATAGCTTCTCCTATATCGCAGATTGGACCAAACTTCACACAACAAACAAAACAAACATGATTAATGACACATTGTTGTTAACTACAGTGATCAAGATTAACCAAAGAAACAGTAAAAAAGCTTTACAGAACACTTGGGGATTGCGGCGATGCCAGCATGAGGTCCTCCTAAGGAGACATAGTTGATGACAGGAGGAGCATTGTCGCAGAACTCGATTAGGCCTCTAGCCACTAAGTTTCCTTGAGACTGTGCAACAATGTTGTAACCCTGACTAAGTTCTTTCATCTTCTTCACTTTCTCACACGCTAAACTCGCTTGGTCTATCAGTGGCATTAACCATGAGTCTATTTCCCCGTTTCCTATTTCTCTACAAATTAATATCACAACGATCATAAGAAAAAGATATGAAAACACAAAGTTCAAATAAGTTAGTTAGTGGTTGAGATTACAAGCAAAAGCCAGGAGAGCCGGAGAGATTGCTTAGGAGTTGCGTGAAGTTACTAACTCCACCAGAACATTTATCTCCAATTCCTGTTTTTTTTTATTTTTATTTTTTAAATATTAATTTAATTCATTATCAGTTTAAAAAAAATGATAAACAGATGAGGAAAAGAAGAAGGATCGTCAATTACCATGAAACAATATGAAAGGAATAGAGTTTGTAACCGAAACGATAGAGAATAACACGGTGGCCACCGTTAAGAGCAGAACAGATCGCTGGAAAATTCTCATCATGGATGATTGAGAATTTGAGACTATATATCTATCTATCTATTTTGATTCGTCGGAATATTCTTCTTTTCTCTCTCTCTGTCTTCTACAATATGTGAGATTGCTTTGTTTATAAATGATATTGCTAGTCAAAAAGGGTTGTTAGCGTTTTCTTCCCTAATTGGAATCTGAATTAAATGGGATTTACTTCACTTTAAAACATTAATTGAATAAGAATTTATAAAGAATCCAACTGTTAGAGTTTGCAATATTTGTCTTTTATTCAGTTGGAATTTGTCCACCATAATTATCTAAAATCAATAGATATTTTTGTTCTTTTTATTTTTTTTTAAATTTTTTACTGTGTATATATTTTGGTTTGATTCTTGATCTAAGAGCATGTCCAATAGAGGGATTCTTTAAGAATCTCAATAAATTATTTTAATAATAAATTTAAGATTTAATTAAAATAAATGAAAAAATGCTCGGAAGTTTTGTTCAAGAGGAGAGAGAGTTTTACAAAAATCAGCCATCCCTTCACGCCACATCAATTAAGCGGCGTCCCTAAAACCTCTTATACAAGGGACGATTTCTGTTAAAAGCTCATTTCTTTTTTTTTTTAATTTCAAAACACCTCAAAATCTGTGTCAAGAATCTCTATTGGACATGCTCTAAAGTCTAGACGATCAATATTTAAATAAGAATTCAATTTTTCTATTGAAAAAGCAAGATTCATCCCAAAGTTTTTATAATTTTAATATAGTCGATTTATATAGAAATTTAATTAAATAGCAAACAATTTATGAAAGATATGGAGAAATCTTTAGCCTTTTAACTGCAAAAGGGTGGTCTGAATTTGATAAAATCTGGAATATGTTTTATACATTCCTAAAATGAGAAGAATATACTAAACAAATATTTCCGACAGAAGAAGCGCAGCAATAAGGAGACAAAACCAAACATCACTTACTCCCTCCATGGCTACATTGTTTTACACTCTGCAAGCTCTCTGATGACTGGTTTGGTTACTTGCTTCAGGAGTAAACCGACGCTGGTTGGTTACTCAGGGAGTCTCCTCTCTGGTAAGTCTTACCGGTTTGTTTTGTAGATACACAATCTCTCTGTCTGCTGCATTTATTAGTTTCCGCTCTGATTCTTCTTCATCTGACACTGAAGATGCCTCTGAGTTTGATTCCTCATCATCTACATTTGGAGAATATAAGAAGTCAATTCATGATTTTTTAAAGTAGTGTTATTCATAAAACATCTCTTAATTAGGATCTTACCAGAGAATTCAAGGCGTTCGGGAAGAGCACTAACAGCTGTAAGCTGAATGCTTTCTGGTAGAAGACAATTACAGAACGAACCTGAAACTCAAAAACCAACTGAGTAAAGGACACGATTTGTTTGTTGAAATGAGCTGTGGCATAACAAGGGAAAGGGTTATATCTTTTACCTACACGGGCCAGGCGATTAATCCATCCTGGAATAGGCTTTCCGGTAAGCTGCAAGCATACTTCTTCGGTGAAATGGTTACAGTTCTTGGCAATCAAATGGTAAGTGTCACCATGGTATTTTCTTGAAAGCTTCTCCATGTATGAGCGGAAATCTGAACGGGACATGCTGGTACTTCCCAACAAAACCGACCGTCTAAAGACGAACCCTGGACAGCTCTTAGGCTCCACCTCATATACCCCACTCGTTGGATACTCATGAGCTCCATAGCAATATTCGAAACCATGAGCTACATTGAAGTTGAGAAACTGTGTTAAAAGAGAGCAATAAATAACAAGTTGCTCAGGCTTGGGCAGATATTATATAACATATCAGGTTAAATCTGAGTTATAAAGGATCAGGGAAGGTTTCCGTTAAAACTCCTAGGGACTTGTCTTGGTCCTACAATCTCAGTTAAGTCTATATCCAAATCATTAAATCACGACTTGCCAAGAACATTAAGACAGCTAAATTTTGTTGTTCATCTTCAAAACCCTAACCATTCAACTTTATAAGCATACTTATGTAGGCACTGTTCTATGGATTTGTAGGATGTACAGACTCATAAAAAGGGTTTCTTTAATGTCAATTAAGTTACAGAACACAGCAGAATCAATAAAGACCAAGAGAATAAACATACCCTCGATTCCAGAATGGAAAATTCCGATACCAAACCAATAGAGGTAATTGTTCACAGGCGTTAGATCATACACGTTGAGGTAAACCGGCGAAAGCCCGGCTTCTCCACTGTTCTCTTCCCTCTCCTCACTTGAGCATGAGCTTGAGCTTAAAGTAGGCACCCACATTTTACACACAAAGCAACCAATCCACAGATACCCAGTTCAAAGTCAAGATCCAATCATTCCCTTCTTCCTAAACCTCTGCAAAACACAATAAAAATGATGATGATATTCATATAACACAAAAAGAAGAAGAAAAGCACAGTAACAATCAAATGTTCCATAACCTAGATGAAAATCATTGGAATTGAAGCATTCGAACATAAACAATCGAAAAGAAAACTTCTTTGGTAGCCAATGAGAATAGATCGAAAGATGCCAAGATTATGAACCTTTCAAATCATTCCGTAGTTGATAATTTGGTAGAGCAATTAAAACCTAAACCTAGAAAACAAATCTATCGAATAAAAGAACTGACAATAGAGAAATCAAAGCCTGTTCTTTACAGAGAAATCTAACGCATATCGCTCGAATTCCAAATCGGGAAAACCCACGAACAGAATTTGAGATTGGGCACGTGTGTCTTCCTCTGGAATTCATATAAAGAAATCGAGCGCGATAGAGAGATGACGAAGAAGGAAGAAAAAGATAAGAGAGCTTACGTGCGAGTCGGAGAATTCAGAAGAGAGAGAGAGAAGAAGGGATTGGGAGAAATACTGAGAAAAATGATGACTTTGATCGAGAAAAAGTTATATTATACACAAAAAGCCTTTTTTTTGTTTGAAGATTTCCTCTCCTTTTTTTTCCTCTAAAATTTAAGGAGTAGACATAAAAACCTAGATTTGACCCAAAGTGAAATTTAAAGGAAAACTCGATATACCATATATGATAATGAAATATGAATATGATATATGTTTAAGTTGGAAAATTATATATTTAACAATTTTAGTTTAATTTTCTTTCTCTTGTTAGTTTTATCTTAGCTTTAAATATTTATCCTATATATAATACTTTCTATGTTTCATTAATTTTGAATACATCTCATACAATTCAAGTATACAAATCTGCTTATATTTAATCAATCTATCTTTAAATAGATAATATTAAAATGCAAATATGGTTAGGCTAAAATGCATAGATAACTAGCTTTTTTGGTGTAAGAGTAAATTGGGAATTCTGTTTAAAAGATTATATTAAAAATATAAAATATTCTTCTTTTTAAAACATAAAAAATCCAAAATAATATTATTTTTTTTGTAAAATAGCTGAGTAACTTTTATATTGGAGCCTCTAAGATGTTCCATACCAAAAGAAGACAATGAATCAACTTCTGGTTTAGGAACTAGAGAGATTTAAGCTAAATATCTAATAATCTATGAGTTGTATTATATAGGCAGCCAAAAAAATGGAACGAGTGAAGTTGGTGATGGTCCATTTATAGCCAAAAGTTCCAACATTATACGCACCTCCTACCTACATGCATGCATAAAGTGTTCATATAGATCATTCAAAAATTATATCACGCATGGGAAATAATAGAAACTCATTTTCAGTCAATATAATGAATTTTTATTGCTGATATTCTCTCCATGAGACTTGAAAATTGTATTAAAAAAAACAAGCAAACAAATAAAAGAATTAATAAATTTCCTCCAATGTGCAACAAAAGAAGCATTACAGCAAGCTGACCCCACAGACAAAGAAAAAAAAAACATCTAAACAACAGTCAATTGTGGATAACCAAACGGAGATAACGGTGATAAAAGCGGCATGCTCAGAAACTCCGTCAAGTCCCAGTCATCAATCGCCGTCAAACTTGACGTCGTTTTCTCAACGGCGTCACTCTCCTCCGTCTTAGGCACTTTCTCAGCCACCGTCACATCTTCCTCCTCCTCTCCGTCTCGCTTCCGTTTATTCTGGCCAACGTCATCGCGTGGATTCCACATCTCAACCTCAAGCGGGAAATTGACAATCGCCTTTGACCCTCGGAGTGTAAACGCCGCTTTATCGTAAGCCCTAGCGGCTTCGATCGCCGTGTCAAACGTCCCGAGCCAAACCCTAGTTCCTCGACGGTTCGGATCTCTTATCTCCGCCGCGAATTTCCCCCACGGCCTCATCCTCACTCCTCTGTAATGCCTCTTCCCTTCCGCGGCTTCCGGTCCGGGAAGCTGTTCCGGTTGAGTATTTCCGGTTGCGAATTGGATCCACTCGGTTCTGTTCGGCGGTGCGATCTTCAACGGCGGTTTCCGGTTCGATTGCGCAATTGAACCGGAAACGGCGCGTGGATTCGATTGGAAGGTGAAGGAATCGCTCGATGCTAGTGGAATTTCAGCTTTCACCTCCTCGGTGAACTTGGGCGTCACGAGATCGATTATCTCCGGTTTAGTCTCGAAATCAGGAAAATCGAAACCGGTTTGATCAAATGAACCGAAGATTGAAAAATCGGAGCTTGATTCTGGAGCTACCGGTTCGTTCATCCATCGATTGGTGGTGAGAGTAGGCACCGGAGAAAGTTCGTCGAGAAGATACTTCTTGATGAAGAAAAGAGCTGATGCTTCGCTAGGCGTGGCCATTTTCGAGGTCGAATTTTTTGTAAAATTTGGAGAAAACAGAGAATCGAAGGAGGAAGATGATTAATTGAGAAGGAAAGGTTTTGATTTGACAGTGGAGAAGAGAGTGGGAATGTATATATATAGGAAAGAGTCAAGTCAATGAGAGACTCTTTCAAGGCAACATCCTTTCGTATTTTAAAATTCAAATTTAAATAATCAGATGCAGTAGGGTGTATCTACTTGTGTGTACTATCGACTTCACACCGTTCGATTAGATTATAAATACCTCAGTCAACGGTAAGATCGTATGCTTCATCGATGGCAGCTGATGTAAAAATTAACAAATAATTAAAAATTAACCACTCCTTCTTAGGCTGCGCGATCTAATTCTAATTTAAGGTTCTTTACATGTATTATATTGTTTGTTTTTTTCGTTGATTAGGCAAGAATTGATAGATTCATGCAATCATGCTCGATAAAAGCTAATCAAAAGATTAGTGCTCCTAATTTTAAAAAGAATTGTTAGTTTTAACGTTTGATTAATTTACGACTAGTTGTAAGAATTTGGTTCACATGCATGCATTTACAATATCATAAGTTATCGACCGTGTCAGCTCAATTTTTTTGGATAATCTTGTTTCAAAGACAATTAAAGCACGTTTTATTAAGGTTTCGGTAATAACTGATGGAAGAAATAAAAACTGGGGTTAACTTTTACGTCAGAAATGTATTTTGGGAATTTTTAACTATTTAAGACTAGATTCTCCATGTCGACGATGTTTTTTATATAGTCCTGAGTCTTGACTCTTGAACATCAGGTAGACAAAGACCGATAAATTCTCATCTTGCCACCCAGAAAGATAAGCTTTAGGAACCAATAATTTTAAGTTAAGAAAATAAATAAAATGAGAAAATTAAAGTTAAGCAAATAATTATTACATCCTGTCATATTGGGATATCTCTTACAACTATTTTTGTTATTAAATAATATACCAAACAGTTCTCTCATTTCAATAACCCAACACTAAGGTCTAAGGTTATTTCTTGCTATCGTATCGTTTCAAATTAAATGTTTGTATGAGATGGAGGAGAAAATAACAATGGTAGTATCTTTTTCGTATTTCACATTTGCATTCATAATTGTTTAAATTATGTAACTATGATTATTTTATAGTATTTCTCTTAATTTATCCGAGTAAATAATTGATTTTTTTTTGTTAAAAGGCATCCAAGTAAACAAAATTGATATATTGATATTGGACGTCCACTATATACTTGCGATCTATTCTCCTAAATTTCCACATTATAATTCGGTATCTTAATTTATTATTAACCGTTAAATCAATAAAATCACTTGCTAAATTTTATACCCAATTAAACTTTTACGGTACCACATTGTTATTTGCTAATAGCAACCTGACCAATTGAAATTGCTATACCAAATGAAGTCTATTATTTATTTCAAAGTAAGGTTACTTACTTTAACCTTATAAAAACACTCATAAACAAACGCAAAACAAATGTAAGTGCCTTTGACATTGACATTGCCTTTGCTGCGTTGTAATACTTAATTAAACTTGTAATCTTGTACAATTATTCAATAACAAACCATGTGACATTGCCTTTGCTGCGTTGGAACGTGATTTCTTCCTTTTACGTTTGCATACGAATGCGCTTACTTCATCACTTCTCTTTCGGTTATATTCATCACAGTTCACAAATACTTCGAAGTTGATTCTTTGACTTGTCTGTATGTTTCTGTTTGTATAATATGATTATGTAATTGGTTCTAAAAAAATGATCTTACTATATTCTTTATAACATGAATGCAAGATTACATAATCATAATATAGAAACGCCTAAATACAGACAATGCAATATCAATTGTCACTACAAAAAAACACAAGATTACCAACGAATTTTTACAACGATTTTTTTCGTTGCAACTTTACGACGAATTTACAACGAATTCGTCGTTAATTCGTTGTAAAATGATTCGTTGTAAATTTACGACGAATTTACGACGAATATGGTATTCGTTGTAAAATCGTTGTAAATTTACAACGAATTTACAACGAATCTTAATTTTATTTAATTAAAAAATAAACGTTGTTAATTCATTGTAAATTTTTTTTTATTCAAAAATTAATAATCATTGTAAAATCGTTGTAAATTTACAACGAATATTTTTTTATTAAAATAAAATTAATATTCGTTGTACATTCGTTTTAAATTTACAATAATTTTACAACAAATTCTTTTTTAAATAAAAAACATTTAAAAAAATTATTGCAAGTTTTCTATTATTAAAAAATCTTTTCTCCTAACTACTATTATTTATAAGTTCTAAAATCTTATTATTTTATGTTTACATTATATAAATTTTATGTTGATTTATTAAATTTTCATATAAAAAATGTATGTATAATTTATTACAGTATGATCATATATAATTTATTCAAAGTTAACAAAGAATTACCGACGATTCGATGTAAATTCATTGTAAAAATTTATTTTATTTTATTTTTTAAATTAACAACGACATTACAACGATTCATCCTAAAATCGATGTAAATTCGTCGTTAATCAAAATTACAAAAGTCACACATCGGTAGTTTGGCAAAATTTCTTACAATATATATATAACAAACTCAACACTATTATATAACAAGTTCAACAATCTATCTTCACCGCTGGAGTCATTATCACCACCGCCGGAGCCATCACCGCCGCCGGAGCCACCACCGCCGCCGGAGGAACCACCACCGTCGGAGGAGCCACCACCGCCGGAGGAGCCACCACCGCCGGAGGAGCCACCACCACCGCCGGAGCCACCACCACCGCCGGAGGAACCACCACCGCCGGAGGAGCCACCACCGCCGGAGCCACCACCGCCGGAGCCACCATCGCCGGAAATATAATAAAAATCGTTGTAAATTCGATGTAAAAATAATAATTAAAAATAAATAAAATATTAAAAATCGTTGTAAATTCGTTGTAAAAATTTTAAAAATTAAAAATAAAAAATATTAAAAATCGTCGTAAAGTCGTCGTAAATTAGCGACGAATATAAATCGTCGCTAATTTACAACGAATTTACGACGAAATTGGATTTACGACGATCGATTAACGACGATTTGATTTTCGTCGTAAAATCGATGCAAACACTCATTTACAACGAATTTACAACGAATATGGTCGTTGTAAATGAGGTGTTTTCTTGTAGTGTGTTAACAAAAAAACAATAATTACACACGATGCTTCATTCTTAACAAGTCTTATATATTCACTAACATACTAGTCAATACTTTTCTTTTTCATAGTTTTCAGTCTCGTATAATTTTCCTTTTTAATGGAATTCTAAAATACTCGTCGAAACTCTAAATCTAATGATAATCGATTACATCCGTTTTCTTTTCAACTTGTGCTTATGTGTTGAAAATCAAGGCAATGACCGAGTTACCTGTAACCAAGTTTAAAATGAACAACTAGAGGGCCACCATTTCTTTTAAAATAGGTTTGTGTATTTAGTTTTGTTGTTTGACAAGTCTATATTACTAAAACAATAATGTCACAAAAAATGTTGAATGATTTAACTACCTTTTATTAGGGATTATGTAGATTTATTGAATCAATGGTTTTATTGGAAGAAAATGAAAAAAAAAATTATAATTTAGAATTTATGTACTATTGATTTTCGTTGATCACTATTTTTCACGTAGTGAAATAAAGGCTACAATTTATTAATATCCTTAAGTTTCTATGAATCTAAACATGGTATTGGATTGCATCTATCTTTCCACTTGGTTTGGATTTGTTATCAACAAAATTTTGTGGATCCAAGTCCAGATATATTATGTTCGGTAAACAAAACGATAAGGGCCCTGTTTGTTTGCTCATTGGTCATTTACATCTAGATGATCTATTTAAATGATTCATTTGGATGAGTCATCTCAGTGATGCACATAACAAATGAACAAACAAACATTTAAATGAGAAATTGACAAATGAGCAATGAAAATGAGATTTTACGTTTTTGTTGAGAAAATGATATTTTATGTTTTAACGGAAAATAAGATTTTATGTTTTCTACAAAAAAATAAAATTTTATGTTTTTTGACGGAAAACAAAATTTTACGTTTTTTGACGGAAAAACGAAGTTTTACGCTTTTTGACAGAGAAAAAACGAAAGTTTATGTTTTTGACAAAAAACATGATTTTACGTTTTGACGGGAAAACAAAATTCGTTTTTGAAGGGAAATCAAAATTATACGTTTTAACGGGAAAACGAGATTTTACGTTTTTAACGGGAAAACGAAGTTTTATGTTTTTTTTACGGGAAAACGAGATTTTACATTTTTTTACCAGAAAACGAGATTTTACGTTTTTAACGAGAAAACAAGATTTAACGTTTTTAACGGGAAAACGAGATTTTATGTTTTTAACGGGAACACGAAAAATTTACGTTTTTAATGGGAAAACGAAATTTTACGTTTTTAACGGGAAAACAAGATTTTATGTTTTTTTACAGAAAAACGAGATTTTATGTTTTTAACGGAAAAACGAGATTTTAAGTTTTTAAAGGAAAAACAATATTTTACGTTTTTGACGGGAAAACGAGATTTTACGCTTTTGACGGAAAGCGAGATTTTACGTTTTTAACGTTAAAACGAGATTTTACGTTTTTAACGGAATAACGAGATTTTATGTTTTTAACGAAAAATGAGATTTTACGTTTTTTGACGGAAAAACGAAATTTTACGTTTTTGATGGAGAAACGAGATTTTACGTTTTTTGACAGGAAAACAAAATTTTAAGTTTTTGACGAGAAAACGAGATTTTATGTTATTTTACAGTAAAACGAGATTTTATGTTTTTTATGGGAAAACGAGATTTTATGTTTTTTGACGAGAAAACGAAATTTTATGTTTTTGACGGGAATACAAGATTTTTCGTTTTTTTACGGTAAAACGAAATTGTATGTTTTTTACGGGAAAACAAGATTTTACGTTTTTGATGAAAAAATGAGATTTTACATGTTTTATCGAGAAAATGCAATTCTTTTGACTGAATCATGTTCATCCAAATGCTTCAAATTGAAT